ATCAAATGTGTAGGTCGTTTTAAATTGCGAGGTCTGGGTTTTCTAGGTCTGTGTTTTCGAGGTCTGGGTTTTCTAGGTCTGTGTTTTCGAGGTCTGGGTTTTCTAGGTCTGTGTTTTCGAGGTCTGGGTTTTCTAGGTCTGAGGTCTGTGGTCTGTGTTTTCTAGGTCTGAGTTTTCTAGACACCCCTGAGAATTGTGAAAACCAGAAGTAAGATCAAACAATGTAGCTCCTCTGCGCCCTCGTGATGCTGATATGGGCCGAAGGTTTAGCCTTTGAGCTTGTTAATTCAATGGTTGCATACTGCGGAATGGGACCGTTTTTTTTTGTGCTAGCCACAAAGCACTTACTTTTTTATCCTTATACGTCGGAAACAGCTTGAGTAGCTTGAACCACTATACAGCGTAACAAATAAAATTTCTTCCAGGCCCTTCCAGGTGATCGTTTGGAAGTACATGTATGTTGTCTCCACTGCTTTCAGGTTATTCACAATAACGAATTTATCAAGGGAAAATTTTGCAATCCCACCTCAGAGAATCTGTCGCTTTATAGTTTTTTTGTGTTGAATTTCAATGATTTCAGCGCAGCCGAACAGTGTTGAACATTATCCCTGTAACTAAGTGCTCACTTCTGTTTTTGTGTACATTAGACAGTTTTGTCCATGAGCTTGATTTAGCTCTGAGCTAGTACAACTTAAAGAAATACATACCTTGAGAATGCAAGTTGCTCGCCACAAGAACCACGCTCGAAAGTATAATTTCCTGTGCTCTCAGTTGCGTCGCGGAGGACAGAAGAAACATTGAACGGCATCATTTATCTCCGTCTACAACTGACCTTCCAAATTCAGCAGTTTAAAAAAATCCTTCGGTGGTCTGAACACAGTTGCGACATTGCGTTATAAAATTGCAGAAGATTTGGAAGGGCTAAAGGTGTGACAAAGCCGAGTCTTTCCAGTTCACTTCACAATCTTCCCCACGTGCAAAAAGGGCTGGGCGATTGTTCTATTTCACAACAGAGTAGTTGTCAAAACCTGCCGCGGCTTCTTTGCGCAACGCATTCCTTTGATGTTTCGAAATCCAGTCGGTCTATAAAAAGACAGACGTTTTGATTCTTGACTACTCAGTATTGACTGACGTACGGACAGCTGAAGAAGACCGGGAGTGAAGGAACTCGTTCTGAGAAAGACACAAAACAAAAATACATCTGGAATTGGACACGCGCCGGACAGCCTCATCAGGTTTGTGATCATAAACCCACTGTGTCTTTACTTGTTGTATATGTGCGAAGTTCTTGTCGTTATTGAATCTGGGCATAGCCATACAGATGAACATCACAGCGGTTTAACCTGCGAGCAAAGGTTGCTTTCTAGCATGGCTTGTAGCATTTGCCAAGCCGTATCGCCTGGCTTGTCAATCGCGTAAACAAAGCAACTACACGACTGACAAGCCACGCGAACGACTTCGCAAATGCTAAAAGCCATGCCAGAAAGAAAACTCGAATGCTAGTGGGAACAGCGTACAATATGGCGATTTGAGATTGTTCCAGAATACAGATTGGAATTAAGGCGTCATTTTCGAATTTCTTTATTCACTCGTCGGGTTGTTTCTAGCCTGTGGACAGCTAGGTTCCAGAGTTTTCACGCTTTCTTTAGTCCTCTCAGTGATATTTATCTGTATTTTTATACAATGCTGGGATTGGAATTCATATGCGACCCTGAGTGAACTTTTGTTCGCGTTTAAATAGTAAAAAGGCTAAATCGTAGAAACACTGTGATCTTGTAGGTAGAGTAAACTAACTTGATATTAAAGCCTAAATGGGATAGTACTCAAACTATAAAAACCACACTCTGAACTAAAATCTCCTAGGTCCTGTCCCCCCATGTTTCTGATGTTTGATTACGTATTTAGAAGGCAAGTGCCATCTATAAACAACGACAACTTGAAAGGTAGTCTGCTCAGTTGTGATCATATATAGTCGACACTCTCTTAAAGGACACCTCTGTAAAACTACCGTGTGGTACGAAATTTTTGCGGGTTCTATTTTTTGCCATTTTTGCGGTTTTTCATGCGATCCGTAAAAATAATCCCGTTCCCGCAAATGAAATTACCGCAAACACTTTTCGCGCAAAAATTTACTCCCGAGTAAATATTCTCTAACTTAAAAATACACTACTAAGAAATCGTGTCTGTTCAGTCACAACTTGTCTCTTTCATTCAGAAACAACGAAATACTGGTGTGTTGCCTGAAAATATGTATTTCTATTGGACGTACTCAATAAAATCGAAAATATTATCAATGCTGGGTACTGGGTACTTTCTAAAAATCTCAAAAATTACAGTAATTTCCAGCGGGAAAAACCAATCTGTCCTAATCGCAAAAATTAGTTCCCGCAAAACACCAAAATCGCCAATCCGCAAAAATAAACTCCCGCAAAAATTTCGTGCCACACGGTATCCGGTTGCAGGCGTTCAGGTAGAACGCGGCTGGTGGGGAGCGAGTTTTAAACATGTAAGCAGGGAAAACGAGGAAAGACCATATTTCGCCTGCTCTCTACTATCTGAACGCCTAAAGCGCCTGTTACGCAGGCTAACTCTGTATCCTGGGGGGGCACTTGGGTATTTTGGGGGTGTGTATGCGCCGCCAGGGACTCCAAATTGGCACTCCTGGCCCCCTTCTAAAAAAAATTTCCCCTAAAATTGATACCCCGTTCTAGAATTCGCCCTAAAACTGATACCCCGTTCTAGAAAAATGGGCCAATTTTTTATACTCCGTTCTAGAAAGTTTGTTAATTGAAATAGCCCTGTTTTTTTAAAAAAAGATATTTCTTTATTTGTTCGACTTATACATCAAATAAATGCTTCTTTATAATCAGCAACAATTTTAAGCAGAAGATAAAGCCGTGATCCACAATTTTTTATACCCCGGTCTAGAAAACGCCTCTGAAATGAATACCCCGTTCTAAATCAGGAGCTTCAAAATCACGACCCCGTTGGGCGCCACATACCCCTATAGGTACCCCTTCCCCCCCACCCAGGGCTCTCTGTAAGACGGACATCTCTCTAAAACGGACACTTAGTGCCTGTCTGTTATGAAGGTCGTCCCAAAAGCTCGTTCCGGTCAAGCTTTAGTCTGCTACACAGCCGTTTTTAGTGTCGTCACGCAACGCTCCTCCCCGGGAGCGTTGCGTGACGACACTAAAAACGGCTGTGTAGCAGACTAGTCAAGCTTAGGCTTCGTATACTGACATACTTAACCTTGGACTTTCCTTTGCATGAACGAATTATTGTTTTAAGATTTTCTGTTTCACCTTTCGTAAGCAACCAGCCTGTGGGCGAATCTTTGTTTACACTTTTTGCCTCATTAACATATGCTTATCACTATCTGATGACGCTAACAAAATAAAAACTCTGAATATTGAAGGGGCATTACCTTTTCAGTTATCTCTGAAAATTTGAGCCCGATACGCCGAATGGTTTTGGAGAAATTCTCTTCTAAAAACTCGAAATTACACAGAGAATGTATGGCTCATTAACTTTTTTGCCACACAGCAATTTCGCTCATCAAAAACATTAAACCACAGCAACAAACCAGTGCGGACATGGGGCCGGATCTTGCGTAGACTTTGATCAGTCAAAATTTCTAATACCAAGTACAATTAAAAAAACTGATCCTTAGTTTTCTTGTCGTGAGGATCAAATTACTGTGTTTTCCACTTTATCTGAGTGAGGATTTTTAAAATACCAATTAGTTACTTCAACTTCTCCTCCTCAGCCACAACGATCTTTGTGTCGTCTTCACAACGCTTCATTCATAGGAGCGTTGCGTGACCAGACGGTGATGGGACTTCTCTTAGAGTACACTGTAAGCAGAGGTTTCTCTCTTGGACGGCTTTTAGCGTTAAGGAAGTCGTTCGCGTGGCTCTCTGTGGCGTAGTTGGGTTGTTTACGCCCCGTTTCTCCTGGGGCGTATTAACCCTTTCACTGCCAGAGTGCTTGATAGAGTTTTGTGAGGTGACTCTAACTTTTGAGTCTGTGGATGAAATCCTCTGATGTGACCATTCAAATGAAAGACCTCAGAGCGCACATGGAGAACGTCACGCGTTAAAAACAATAGAATTTTGACAGTTGGAAGTAATTAGCATAACCTCAAAGCGCATGCTCTCCAGCTGACATAGCCTTGGAGACAAACAAGTCAGAGACTGCCTCGTCCCTAGACACTCGCGATCGCTTCTCTGGGGATATTGTCCTTTCACCACCCCGGGTCATGCTCTGCGTTTGTCTCCAGCACCCCGCATTGAAGTCCAAACTCCCTGCGTGGCTCAATACTACTATGCAACCCTGTTAATGATTACCGGGGATTACAGTTCCGTGGCAAAACGTTCTTTAATCAGTCAATCAATCAATCAATCAACCAGTCAGTCAGTCCATCAATCAGTCCACCAAAGAATCCACCCGAGCGTTCCAGGCGTGGCAAACGTGCATGCAAGCTGGCGTGCATCAACAAACGTGCACGAGATGATGATGTTCGTGTAGTAAACAGGAAATGTTGTGAGGTGTGTTTAAAAATGGCCGGTTATTTTTAGTTCGTACGCGTGAATTTCTCTCAACGTTTAGTGAAATATTCAGGCAATGTTTAGGTGATAAATGCTTTCCTTCTTTCACGATATCGCTTGTTATAATAAAACCACGTATAAAAAGAGATGGTTGAGATGTCTCATATTCGCATAGACTGCGAGCAGTCTCTTATTTTTGTTTGCAAAGTTTAATATTGCAAGTGAAACCCAAACACGCGAGCGGTGAGCGGCGAAGACGCGAGCCGCGATAAACGAGGGCGTAAGCCCGAGAAGAAAAAATAAGAATGACTTCGTGGTTTGCAATCACGCTAGCTGAGAACTAGACGGATTTTAAAGGCGGACTGCAAGCAGTCTAATATGCGCAACAAATATCATCTTTTCACCGCTGTTCTATTTGTGTGTTATTTTTAATAAAATTGCGATGGCCTGACAACAATGTAAGGGTTGATATGGTCAGGATTATCCTGATGCTAGAGCGCCTTAAAAACTGTTTGCCATTACCATGTTTTTCAAAGAGTACGAATAAAGAAAAAACTAGCAACATTTCGCCAAAAACGAGCAGTGCAAGTATCAGAAAATACATGAGAATTATGCTTGTCATGAAAAATTAGCAATGGTAGGAGGGCTGAGTGGAGTCCAATTCGGTCTGTAATCATACGAGTGATTAACAAAATCGGACGACATAATATGCTACTTTCACCTCTGAGCACAATCTATAAAAGCCTACAAAGGCAGTAGGCAACATAGTACGTGACTGAGAGAGTTGTGTTGTGTGAGTCTAGAATATTCTTGCATACCTCAGATCAGAATACCATTATATTAGGCTTTCTGATCGTGTCAGTTGTGGCGCTCATGGCATAGATGTCGTGTCTATCAACACCCTTCTGGTTAGTTATAGTATAGTAGTTGACCGGATTGCGTGCTATTTATGTTCCGTCAGATCAGCTTACTCCACGCAACTGAAAGTCTTTAAATCCGGCCGTACTGTCTAGAAGGTGCAAAAACACCCTGCGGCATTCGTGTCAGTTTTGTTAAACAAACTCGTGCTATATGTGTGTGTGTGGTTTTTTTTTTACTCGTGGGCTTCTCGGTTACAATCTTTCATCGATAGTTAAGTATATCACTACACGTATATGGAGTCGAATTTGGATTACTCTAGAGAAGAGAAATTGCCAAGCACAGTCAGTAATTTAACAAAACCTCGCTTCATCGATCTAAGCAGGGCGATCGAACTGTACCAGCAAAATCCTTTTGAGCACAGGCCTCGCAGGGAGAGCATCGTCGATCAATGCAAACAGTCTTTCGTTTATGGTGAGTTCTTAAAAAGTGCTACTTGTTTTAACATAGAAATATCTTCCAACTGTGATTATTCTATGCATGTCAGTGTGATGATGTATTCAGCTGTGTATTGTCCCGGTAAGAGTACATTGCCGTGTCGATTGTAATGACCCTACAAAGTACACGGCATTCCCCTCTACAAATTCAGTCCAGAGTGCAGCTAGCTGCCGTAGAATTTGGCCAGATAGAAGACAGGGGCACCCAACGACGGTTTCCTCCAAAAGACATTGAAAGCACTATTTAGGCTATGCAGAGTACTTTTAGATCTCAGTCTAGAAATGCACTCTAAGCGGCACTAAAGAATTTGTGCCTGTTTGGTAATTCTAGGGGAGCTTGAATCTTTTCGAAACTACAAGGGCTTCAGTATTATTTTAACAAAAATTTTAGTTGTAATGAGACGTATTACGAAAGAGAGATTTTTTCTGATTCCTCTCTCCATCACATTTTTGAATCCCAAAATTTAACGTTTTCTATTTTCTACTAAAATAGCCTAACGTGGGGAATGAAATGAGAGAAATCAAACTTATGACAATCGTAGGGAATTTATTAGATAATTTGCTTCAAAAATTGAACGTGAATGGAGCGGTCATCTAGAAATTTTTAGCCGTCCTCAAACTATAGAAAATTCTAGGCAATATTTGCTTCTCCGAACAGATATTTTACAGAAAACAGTCGTTGGTTGCCCATGAGAAGAGTGCTTCATTACTGGGAAATCCAGAACGACAGCAGTTTTATTTTGGGATAGGCTGGTCCTACTTCTGATGTAATACATGTATAAGAAGGAAACGTTTGGGGCTACATTTACGGCACTGCCAGTTTTCACAGGTGTTTTATGACTTCCTTACGATGTATAATAATTTCGTCGCAATTTACAATTTTTTTTATCATTACATTGCATTTGTTTGCTCTCCTGCTCCTCCCCATAAATCGCTTAGATACGCTGAGTCAGGTTCACTTGCAAGATTGCCCACTCCTGTAGGTGGTGTGGTGTACGTGTAATCATGCCCTCTCGATGCATGATCACAGGGTAGTGGTATGTTACCGCCCTGTTTTCAACAGAATTGCGTCACTGTGGCTATCCTCGGCTTTTAACGAAAGTGAAATAATGTTTCTTAAGGTTTAATTTTTAGCGGTATAAGTAAGAGCAAGAGTCCTAGAGAGAAGAGGAAAGAACACCTGTGAAGGTCGTAAGGCCGCCGTGGAAGAATGGTTTTTGAAAAAACTTGGACCAAGAGGAAATGCCATAAATTACCGGTGTTATCTGCGTTTCCGTATTGAGCAGGCTCTGAGAAAATGAAAAAAAAGGAAGCCTGGAGAACGTCACAGACATAGAGTACAGCAGACATTTTTACGAAAACGTTATCGTATTAAGGAGAATTCGACTATCCAGCCAGATCAGTTTATTCCTAAATGGCATGCACAGCAGTGACGGGTTTTTATTGTCAAAAAAAAATCGAGAAAAGACTAATACATGTCTTTCATTTTCGAAATGACACCAGTCTGGCTTGGCAGTTCTGCCGGAATTTTCAGTGGTAAGCGCAGTAAAATTGCCTCTTAAGTACTTTTCTTGAAACAGGACAATGGACTTATCCGTAACGTTTACTTTGTAATAAAACGCTTTCATTGCGACTCGGCCAGGAGGACTAAATGTTAGATAGAAACTATGAAAGGTCTCAGGTTTCACCGCCTCGGCTGGTTCATGGACCACGCGCAGGTAACCAGTGTCCGGCTCGAAAGCGAGGCTGACGATGAGAGTTTCTGACTCGGGTGCAGAATAATGCCCTTTGTCCGCATAAACCGGGCTGATTTTTGAGAAAACATACGAGGTGTTGTTTTGGTCCAAAAAAATTGCTTTTTTGCCAACCAAGTGAGTAAAAACGATCTTCCCTAGAGGTACCTTTAGCTCAAGGACGGCGGCACGACAATTGATTTAGGAGACTACAAAGTCTCTTTTGTAGTGTTTTCTGGCTATTGTTGCTTTTGCCACAAACAACCTTTGCCGAACCTGTGCCTTTGAAGAATCCCATAGCAAAGGACAGCGCCAACGGACGAGTTTCCGAAGCGAAAGTTACCTCCCATCGCATCTCCGCCGGTTTTTGTCAAAGAGTGGACAATGGAAACCAGTCGTTTAAACGTGTTGTTCGATGAAGAACTTACTTAACCGTTACACGACAAGTGTTTAGGAACCGTCATCATAAAGTGAATTTTTGTGACCTTAATTCTTTCGAGTGCCTTTGCACTGACGTCGTTGATTACATATGCTTATTTTAAAAACCACTCATGCTTTGTTCATTGTCTTCTTTGTTCATCGCCCTTTCAACTTTCTGTTTACTAAAGAATACTTAAAACAACCAATTAGTTGCGTCGGTTCATTAAGCAGACTGGCTTACATTACTAAAATTATTCTATTGATCATGTCACAACAGAACATTGCCGCGGTTTTGTGAGCACGTCCAGTGATTTTCTGAGACCTTTTCAGTGATTCAAAATTAGACTGTAATTTATGGCATTGTTTGAATGTTTATTTAGCTGCTAATTCAACAACAATGACTACGAATTTTACCATAATCAAGCCACGAGGTCAATATAAGCTCTTGCGTTTTGGTGGAAAATACTGTAAAGCGATTAGTTTTCATAATGGATGGAAGTTTGATTGCATCTTGTCATCGATTGTGAGCCGATCGGATTTGTGTCTTCGACAACATCTGAGAAGAAAAGCTTACTGGCTGCGCTTGATCTATTCTTGTGTTGCCCTTCGTTAACGTTTAATAGCGCGAGGTTAAGTGGTTCAAAGGCTTCGATATTTCCTGCTTATGATGATGTCACTTTCTTACGCCTTTACGCTTCACTGTATTTAAAAACTTCAGGATTTTTCTTCACAGAAGGTATGACATCCTTTTTCCGTCACTGGGACGAAAATCATGGCAGGGATTTAGGTAACTAATTTAATACGGTCTGTTGGGGACATCTGTGGGATTTGTTACCCAAGAGAAACGTGACGATGAGGGAAAAACTTAAAAAAAATTTTGCATTCACAAACGTGCTTTAGTGGGTTAAAAGTGCATACCAAACACCGACTGGAAGTGCTTTGCGATATACGTTTTCGCCGTTTGTTAAATTAACATGTAGTGTGGTTTCTTGGTCGTAGTCGGGTATTTTTCATTTTGACGTTTTCATTTCTCGACAGATCAGTTATTCGTCCATGGTTCAAGTTATGTAAGGCAACTAGGGCTCTGATTTTCTGTTCCTTAAATAATACACACAATTGATCTTACAAGATTCGGCGTATTTTGAAAGGGTTACACCGATAAAACTGTAGTGCTTCGTAGGTTGACGGTGAAAAATAAGAACCTTTTAGGTGTTTAACTCAGTGTCGGGTTGATATCCTGATATCCGAAGGAGCTGAACTGTAAAGACTAAAAAAGATGCTATTAAGAGCCCAAATTGTCGTGGCTAGGGCAAATTTAATGAGATTCTTTTAATAACAGAATAAGAAGAACCGCGACGCCTTCGGTAGCCATGATATGCATGCAAAGTAATAATTCTGCACCTGTTTGAATGTAGCATATTTTAACACTTCTATAAGTAGAACCCGTCAAGCAATGAAATCCCACTCTATCAGCTTAAATGTATAGCGATCGAAGAGCTAGCCAGCTTTCCAAACCGCGTCAATCACGATTTCTGACGATTGAATACAAACAAGACCTACGAAAACACTTTTTTATAAGCCATGGTATGGTTTGCTAATTAACTTTTACAGAAGCGACAGTTGCAAAACTACATGTATAACAAAGTGAAATCCGCCACATTTGGTAATTATTTTTTCTACCGTCAAAGCAATTTAGCCATTTAATTGTGCATCTCCGATGTACATAAGAAACTCAGGCCTCATCAGTCGGGCCGATAAAGGCCGATTATTATCGTACATCCCTTCTATGTGAGGGTCTCGGCATTCGGAGGTCATCTCGACATTTCTTCGGATTAGTGTGTTCTTTCTCGTAATGTTAATATTTCCTTTCCTGCTCTATTTAAGTTATTGCAGGAAGTTTTCCAGGAGACATAAAATCCGGCGGCGAGATGAAAATAGGCATTATGGAGCTGCGAAATCTACAGCTATTTTCTGCAAATTCCCGAGTAGTTTAGTGTACCGGAGAAAAAAAAGAAAAGAAAAGAAAAAAATGATGAATTGTTCCGGTACCTTAAATAGCAACAGAATGCTCTATGATCCCAGCCTATCACTGAGAGTATCGAAGTACTGGCCACAGTCGAATCTTCGGTGTCGCGAGTACACACTTACAGTTGTATGGCTTATGACAGCCACTTAATAGACACTCGCACCTCTACAGGAATCTACACCCATAATTGGCTATAATAAAGGTGTCGGTGTCCATTATAGAAAATTCATGAAAACGTGCTTAAGTCTTACAGGGCTGTTAAAACCTTTCACACCGGATGTGTTGGTGCCGAGCTGTTAAATACTCTGTAGGAGAGATTTCCCTTTTCTAATGAGATCAAAACTACACACATTACGCATCTGTATCTTGTATCACCCACTTGTAGCAGCATTTAGCATGTCACGCCCTCTCCACCCACGTAACTCAGTAGGGACCGGTGCTTAAAAGTAGTCTGGGCTACACAACCGTGAATTGTGTCGTCACCCAACGCTACTCCCCTCAAAGAGAAGCGTTGCGTGAAGAGTACAGGGAGAGCGGCTGTGGAGCAGACCAAGCGCTTAGTAGCCATTTCTCGTTTTTAAACTCGATCTTATGTTGATGCCAAGTTTTAGAAAATTATTTGACTGCATTGTTTTTACCTCAAGAATAAATTTTCCCTTGTTGTAAAGTTACATATCTTTTTTAAATCAAGTTCTGCTCTTTATTAAGTTTTAAGTCTGAGGACATTAACGAGCACTATTGGTTAAGCATGAAATGATTGGTATATCAACGCGAATTTAAGTTTTTTTCTTCTTGCATTCTTTTCAGAACCAGCAACACAAAGCTCTTTGCCTGAAAGAGGAATGAATTTCGCGGAAAATCCTGTCGTGGAGAACACATTCTCTCTGCCTCGGGATGTTTTTGAGCGACTTTGGTCGTCGCAACAAAGTGTATCAGATACCAGTTCTACGTCAACAAGCTATACAAGAAATCCAGCTTCTGCAAATACCACTGGCCAATGCCGTCGCCTTTCCGGTGGTTTAAACGTTACCGAGCTAACCGGAACTGAAGCTCAACGACCTCGTTTGTCAGTCTCAGAACAAGCCCTTACCCAGAGGGAACATCTCCAAAGGGAACAGCAAAAACAGCTCAAGCTGCAGCTCATTATGCAAAAGCTTGAAAACACTAGAGAAAAAGTTCAGAGGCTGCTTCAACTACAGAAAGCGCGAGGACGTTTAGACAAATACCGCCATAACTCGGCAGAAAAATCAATTGATTTGGAAAGTTTTCAGCGTCGTTATGTTCTTTTGAAACGAAGAGCTAACGCTCTCAACAGTCTACGCAGAAGTATACAGCACAAGGTCCCAATACCCGCCGTGCAATCTCAATTTCAAGGATCCCGATGCGTGCCTGGGATCAACCTTGTTACCAGTGGAGTTTGGTCAAAAGAGCAGAGATCGGGATATTCTTATGACTCTTTCGACTCTGCTGGGTTAGCCTTGGACCATGGGACATATCCCAGAATTGTCGCTGTTCACTGTGTCATGGACAGAGCAGCTGTTAAAGCTGTACATCAACCTTACCAGCAAAAAGACAAACCTCCTTATGCAAGTGTTTCACAAAAATCTGATTGTGGGTACAATAAAAATGACTTTCAGAAAAACGGAACGTTTTCACGTTTAAGGAACGAAAGCAGTTCCTTAGTCGAAAATTTCAGAACTTGCGAAGGCGACGAAGTGGTCTTGACAAAAGTTATTCCTGGAAAAAGCCGTCTCTCTACAGGTGCACTGTCTTATAAGGAAAGAAAACAGCATGAGAAAGTAAACTTAGCGAACTGCAGCCAACGAGCAAGGGACAACAACAAACATTTATTAGAAAATGTGGCCGTCCCAGACGATGCCAGCCATCTTAAGGATAGGCAGGAAACTTTTGTTCGCCGAGTAGACATTGGTCAACTGACAACTGTTAGTCATCCAGAACACGTGGTAATTGCCGAGGAACATACGAGACATGTTAAACAATCAGGAAATGTTGATAATCAGGTTTCTAAAGACTATGCTCCAACAAAGCAAGCTGAACTCAGTAAACAACAGCAACATAGCCTTGCGTTAGAGCCGCATTCAGAGAATGCTGATGCAGATATGTACTTGGGTGGTCCCCCACCCTATCTTCCTGTTCTTGACAAGACAGGAATGATGGAACGAGAGAACGAAGTGAATCAAGAACGCCCTGTCAGCACTGCCTCGTCAGCCCCCAAACTGGCCAAGACAGTACTGGAAATCAGCGAGAAAATCGTCCAGACGAGGGAAAGAATCAAGAACGAGACAATCGATTGGAAGAAATGCGTTCTTTTTAAACTCGAAAAGCGTTTGATTAAAAAACTAAGGCGAGCTGAACGTTTAACTGGACAGAGAACCGAGATCGAGAACCTGCGAGACGAGGTCCCAGGGCCAGTGACCAACGGCAAAAAGGGCAAAGTTCAAGGTCAACGGAAAAGAAGCAGTCGCAAAGAAAGCCAACCTGATAGCGCATGCGCAACGGATGGCGACGCAGATAAAAGTCAAGGTCAAGAAAGAAGCCTGAGTCGGCAGTGCAGTATGAGTGATAGCGTGACAGATGATGAAACCGGTGATTGTCAAGGACGGGAGAAAAGGAGTAGCGTATCGGATATCGTATGCGAAAGTGAGCAAATGAAGAACAGTCAACTTGATAGCGTGACAGAATGCGTGACGGAAGAGAATGAGAAACGGCCTGCGTGCTCCCAGAGTCAGGAGATAGAGGGGCATTTGGACAAGAAGCCAATAGAGTACCCACAAATGAAAAAAATGGAAGAAAACCCCACATTTGAAAACAAAATGCAATGCAATTACTCGACTCAAAAATACAGCAATGACCAAAATGATAAAATATCCTCTGCCCAGGAGAAGAACATTGAACGTTGCATCGGAAAATATGAGTTGGACCATGGTGAAAGGTGCGACCCGGGTGTAAAAAAAAAGTCGGAAAAGATTGAAAATCAAGTGGACACATGTAAGAAACACGGACAAGTCGACGGGAAAGCAACACTGAACACAAACAGCGATTGCCTAACAGTAGAACTCTCACAGTCCGCTTCCTTGAGTATGAAAAGAGAAAGCAGTTTCATCGATAACGAAAGCGCAAAGAGGCAAAAGACAGAATCATGTCACGAAAAATCAGAAAAACAATTGCCCCGTGACAAGGACAAGAAAGAGTGCGTGACTTTAAGGAGCGAAGCGAGGGAAGACCATCAACCAAAGGAAAGAAAAAATCTATTTGACATTTTTAAATCTCGTTTCCAGGGCACTGATACGCTTCCGAATTCTTCAGTGTTAACAGCTGAAAAGAACTGTAAGTTTAACAAGAACGTTGTGGAACTCATCAAGAGCGCGAATGGCTTGAACAAAAAGCTGCAAAGTTGCGGAAAAGAAGATCATAAGTCAGTGTCTTTAAACTGCGATAGAAATATATGGTCAACTTTAATGAAGGATGGAATTTTTTAAAACGTTGCGCTTAATTCGTTTCAAGCGATATATATGCCAGTTGGTCTGGTTTAGGTGGTTTTTCGTGCTCTTTTGTCGCTCTTACATAAAAAAGCTTCGCGAGATTTCTAATTTCTTTCGGTTTTGTACAGTGTAATTAGTTTTTTTGTACATCGGTAAATTAACTTATACTGAAGACGAAAGTCTCATGCTTAAGTTTAAGCAGTATTTTACTTCAGTTTCGAGTTCTTTACATTAATATCGCAAATCTAGGCTGTTAGATAACGGTGTATGTATAAGTTATTGCTGTCATTTTCAACTTCGTCGTCAAAAAATATTCTTATCATAAACCTAAAGAGTTTTATTTTGCAGTTTGACAACCATATTTTTGATGCCTGTTGTATTTGACAGCTAGACATGCCGTAACTAATAACGTAGCATTCCACACCTGTTCCACGAACGTCTGCTGAACGAGCGGATTAGAACATAGAGCAATCACCGCGCGGTGCGAGAAGGGTTGTCAGTAAAACGCGGGGTTAAGGGCGCGGCCGTGGTCTATCTTTTTTTTAGAGAATGCTGTTTTAGGGTTAGGGTTGGTGTCAACCCTAACCCTAACCCTAACCCTAAAACAGCTAGCCTGCGAACCGCAGACGCATTTCCGGTCGTCGCTTCTCTCCCTCCGAAAAATAGCGTCTGCGAACCCGAGCGGCAAAACGATTTCCGTGACGTAAAACCTCTTGTTTTGATGTAGGCCAATCAGATCAAAGGATAGAATACAGCTCGAGTGACTCCTCGCGACCTCGCGCGCTGAAGTGTCTTGGATTTTGGAGAGAATTACCAAATACGCTTTGGAATGTGAATTTCACGGCCATAACAAGGTTTCCTGCGACGTTCAATGCTGACTTCTTTATGAAGCAACTGCTTCTTACGCTATGTATGTGATGTGGGCCTTTGGTTTCGCTTTATAAAATACGGTAGTACGTGACATAAACAAAACCTGGACAAAATAATCGCTACAGCGAAAGGAAAGCAACATAGCTTAATGACATCGCGCTCAGACTTATTTATTTCAATTTAACCAGCACTGACAAAAGGTGGTGAATCAATTATACAGGCACATCCTTGACCGATTCAGAAATCTCTAACAATCGCTCGTTAATAATAGTATCGCCACAACACAATGATCTGAAATATTATAAACCTGAGCCAGACCCAGCGTGAAATAAATAGTTAGAGCAGTAAATAGATCATAGTCAAAATGACATTTCAGCTACGACGCTTCTACTCATCTCACAAAAAACTATGGAAATGAGAACCTTGAAAAGAACGTGTATTTAAAGAAATATACCGGAACAAATATAAAATGCTTTCGATCTGATCAAAGTTCTATCTGAACCAAGAAGCAACCACGCATGGGAAATCAATTACCACATGTCCTACCTTTCAAAGATAAAGGATATCTACTAAAAAATATCTAAAACGGCACACGACAAACTGTCGAAGAGTTCTCCAAGGCATACTTTCCTGCCAGGAACCAGAAAGGAACAGAAGCAACAAACGGCATGATGCGTCTACGGTCATTAGGACAGTTATCGTTTCGAATATGATCAAAACAACTACGTCTGATAAATCATTGACTCCGTAGGCAAATAGATGAAAAATGTCCTCTAATCTTTTCTTCGATATAAATCCTCTTGATACTTATTTCGTCAATCAGTCCCACAATCCTGGCAAATTAACTTTCGTAAACGCGTCGGTCTGGGAAAAAAGGACGGCTATACACAAGCCACGTCGTCCTTTCAATTTCGACTTGAAAACATATCCATCGCGCACGATCCTGCGAGAAGTCTCGCGAGTTAGTTCCTTGATTTTAAGAGCTAAACCGTGATTGGCTAAAAAGGTTTTACGTCACAGAAATCGTTTTGTCGCTCGGGTTCGCAGACGCTATTTTTCGGAGGGAGAGAAGCGACGACCGGAAATGCGTCTGCGGCTCGCAGGCTATAAAACAGCATTCGTTAAAAAAAAGCTTAACCTTGAAACAGCATTCTTTGAAAAAAAGACAGACCTCGGTCCCGGCACCGACCCCGACGCCGGCCCCGACCCCGGCCCCCCGGCCCTGGCCCCGGCCCCCGGCCCCCCCCCGACCCTGACCCCGGCCCCGGCCCCGGCCCCGGCCCCCCCCGGCCCCGCCCCCGGCCCCGGCCCCGGCCCCGGCCCCGGCCCCGGCCCCGACCCCGGCCCCGGCCCCGGCCCCGGCCCCGACCCCACGTTTTACTGACACCCGTCTTCTTGATCGATGAGGAGGAGAAAAAGAGGGCTCTGCGTGAATCACGTCAAGCCTTTGAGGTCGCTGTAGCCCATCTTCTGGGCTAGTCAATTTGTTTTTTTGTCGAGTGCGAGCATCTGCAGCTTGTTGATAAATCGATGGTCATAACCAAGTCCGCTGTAGCAAGCGCACAGCTATTAGGACTAGGTTCAAAACTATATTCTAACTAGAAGTTCTCATTGAGAAGGGAAGTGCTGCCGTTAGTTGCGATGCGAATAGGACAAAGACAGTTTGTAGAACAGTTGAACATATGAATTTTTTTTTATTAAAGTTAATAACTTAGACTTGTTGGAATTATGAAACACTCAGAGCGTAATATAAAAAATGAACCGATCACGATGTCAAATGTTCTTACATTCAGATAACGCGCTAAGGTTTCAATACGATTTTGTAATTCATTTTAATAATTCACGAAATTCTTAAACAACAGCAGCGCTGATAGGCTGTTTCCTCACCGAACAATCATCACATCAAGTTAAGGCCAAAACTTGTTTATTCACAGGTCAGGTAGACTTACAGAACACGCCGTTTACTTATGTAACCTACAATCCTGATTCCCGAGATAACAATCTGTGTGACAAAAGAATACTCGCTATAACTAATCTTGAAACCTAGAATAATAAAAATAAACCGAAAAAAGGTTCCGTACAATACTTCTTGAACTGTTCTTACCGTTTAGGCCTTTTAAAAGACAGCAAACATCCGATGAACTATGATTTCTGCACAGACCTTACATTAGAGCCAAACAAAATGGCGGGTTGCTCCGAAGAAAAAAACAGGCGCCGCAGCTAAGCACTTGCTTAGGCAAACCGCTGACTGCACAGTGCTGCAGTCACAGATCGATTGAACCATCGAACCATTGAACGAAAAATCTCAAATTGCTCAAGAATATGGTCTGCTGCCGGCTGATGCCTGGCAGCAACAACATTCCGGGCATGCGCAACAAAGATCGTTCTTAATTCATGCAAAGTTTTTCACTAATACACCAAAATGGAGAAAGAGAAAGAAATTAAGGTTCTGCTAGCTAGGTGTCACAGTGCATTTTCAAAACTCTTTTACCAAGCCGCTAAAATCTGGAACTCAACTGAACCCGATATAAGGAAAGAAAACATATCCAAGTTCGCGATGTCGAGTAAGAGTAAATCATTTAATTCCATTTTTTCATTTTGTATATTAGAACTAGTTTTTATCTATTCCATTCTTACTTTCACTAATTTTTAGTCATTACAATCTTTATATAGTGGCATTTGAAGTTGTACATTTTAGCTTTTTATGATAAACCTAGTTTTATGTATTTGTATATAAGATGTTTTTAATTCTCTTTTTCTTAAGATTATTTTTATGTTAGCACGTACGCATTTTGAACGAGCTTTTTAGCTCACTAGACGCTACGTGGGTAAATAAACGATTGATTGGAACGATAACGATTGATTGATAGGAAGTGTTCTTTGGGTCGTGAGTAATTTAGCGCGTGACTCCTGACAAGATTAGAAAAGGGGAAGACCTTAGATAACAATGACCACAATATTTAAGGACTTTCTAGAAAAGGTCTCACAAAAGGTGAAGCACTTACACTTCTTCGTGGTCAGGAACAAGTGACAAAGCCCTCATAACGTCTGGGTGAGAGGGGTAAGCTTGGCCTCTCCTACTTTTTTGTGTAAACTACGCTCGGGGTTATGCCAATGACTATGCTAATTTTAGTAAATTATGCTCATTTGAGTAAAAAATGCAGAAATTATGCTTTACTTTTTACATTAAATTTGGTTAAAACACCTTTATATAAACTATACAACAAACAGGTAAATGGCAAACACATTTACTCTGTTTACACCATAAGAGTGTACGTGCGCTTTCCATTCAGCCCAAAATTCCGTAAATTTCGGTTAGAAATCAAATGGAACGGATCTATTCATTTTGGTTCGGTCCGACTGGAATATTCGGGACTACCTTTGACCGGTCCGCTCATTTCCGTCAGTTGTACTAAAAGGTCCCTTTCCATTTGACAACATTATAGTCCCCAGTGCCACTTTTTTGCATCCTTCCTATAAGAACAATAACCAAACGCGCGGTGGCTTGGGTCCGGTCTGTGCAACTGAAATGTACCGTTCGATGTACCGTTCCATTGGGCGTGGAATTTCCAAACTTTCGAGACAAACCGGCATTTTTGTTGAATGGAAAGCACCCCATGCATAATTTATTGTTTGGCGACTCTAAAAAAATCCAAAAAGTTAACTGTGGGAATTTGAATACAGCTATATAATAATTCTTTTTGTCTACAATTTGGTGATTGGATGCTCCAGGGGAGAAGGTAACTCTATTGTACCTCTATTGTCTACCTAAGTTTCTTGACCCACTCCGCCTGCCAGTATGATGTCACATAGTAACAGGCAAGGGCCTTGGGTCGCTTGTGCAAATTAGCAAGGGATACTGGACAGTTATTTGGACGAGCGAGGTCGAGGAAAAGCTAAGAAGCTAACAAATATCGCTATATATCGCTTATTTGATCGAATGTGTGTGAGCTTTGGTGTTGCCATAATCTGCTTGTGGAAACCGTTTTGATATTTTGTGTCCGTGATAGTATAATTTTGTTAATTTGTTTTGCGGTTCTTGCTGTGGGATCGCCATCTATTTCACGGGACCGGCAAGGTCATCAAAACTTAAATCTTTTTTTCTCTAAAATAGGCAAGGTCTGTAGTCTCCAGAATAGGAGGTTCCATTCATAGATCACACATGTTTATATTTCATTTATTCTTTTGCTAATTAAACGGGCCTACCTTAATATCATCCCTTTCGAGTGTGGGCCCCTGTTGATCTCCTAATTCTCCACCAAATTGAGTAAAGCTAGTTCGATCGATTATCTACATCGAGTCGGCCCGTTGAACCCAAAATAATGCAAAATAGCTTTGAAATACGCGCTTAAGCTGATTTTCCTCAAATGTATATTTGAATTCATGATAAATACAGCTTCAACATGCAGCAGAGAAAAATTGTTTTGATATGAGATAATTAATTTTTCAAATCATGTGTGTCACTGTGGTGCATTGGTCAAGGCGTTTGCACGTGCAGATAAACCGGGTCCGACTCTCGGCGACGCTATTTTCTGTTTCGTTGTGCCGTTTTTTTTCCTGTTTGGTCTCTTTTTTCTTTATTCTTACTGCTGACCCTGCTGGTCATGCACTTGGATCAATAAATATTTTAAGCTTAAGTCCGGAGTTTTATTTTGGAAAAGGGTTTTCAAAACCTCTTGATCTGCATACTGGCCAAGCTTACGACCAGAAAAAAATCATAAGCTGTCAAGACATGTCCGTCCTCTGAAACAGCTGAATTTTTTTCAATGTTATTTGACATCATGACAAACAACACACAGTACACCACAAACTGTGCTAATTTACACCCAACACCGACCAGTGACCCACTGGCGAAAGTTAAACTTGCCTTTTGTACATCGTCTTAATCGTCAGTATTATTACCCTGAGTTTGCACCAGAAAAATAATTGAACGAAACCTTTTATTGGTTTTCGGGATTAATTACAGAATTACAGGTGTATACCCAATACAGTATTAAAATGCGGTAAAGCAACAAGATTCAATGTTCACAGTCTCTCACAAATACCTTCCTCTTTCAACGCTACAGCTAAGCGAACTTTGAGAGGAATGATTTGGGGTTCCACTAGCTCTGAAGAGCTGAAAATACGCACAATGCTAAGTATAATACATCCGTTGGTGAACCTCCTGTTGCTGTGTCTAAACTCCTAAATCTTGCTGTGCACTGGCCCTCAAAAGTGTGACCGGTCGGTATGATTGCTCGTAAAATTTGCTCGACAATAGAAAGGAATCTTTAAAATTCATTACACCACTGGACATTTCATTCCAAAAAAGTACTTATGTCTAGTTTTCTATGACAATAGAAACCTTAAAATCTCCAAATCCAAGAAATCGGAACTTACAGTATTTCCGCGATAAAATCGAAATTTTTATCCGTCTCCTAGATGAATGTTTAGATCGCCATTTTGAAAGTCATTGACGCGAGACGTGACGTCATACTGGCAGGCAGACTGTACCACAATTTCCTGGTAGACACCTGCTCTAAAGAGAATGGAGCAAATTATCCGAAAAAAAATGCTTTTTGAGCAAAAGAAAAAGAAACGTATCTTAAAATTTAACCCCGGTTTAGCGCTAATCAGCTTTCGAACACCTGGGACGCCATCTTCGATGACCGAGCTAGTTATGCACATGCGTCCTGTGGAAAGAGGTCCAGATTTCCAGGGGGAACCAGTTTCCATGAACGTGACAATAATAAGCACACAAAAATATTTAACCTCCTCAGACTACCGGCCCGCTCGCTCCGCTCGCCGGTTTTTTTTTTCCGCGCACGCCAATTTTTTTCTACCTTGTCCCTTGTCCCAGGCTACACTACCACGAGCTTATGAGTCGTGTTTACCCTGTTAACACTTTATTTCAAAACTGTTGATTGGTCACTTACCACGCGAATAAAGCAATGAGAAAGGAATGTTGTTCTCAGTTGAGCAGGCGGTAATGGGGAGGGAAGGAAATACCAGCTCCCCTAAAAACGCCCGCGTGGGAGGCTAGCGTTTAATCCAAACCCTAATAATCGGACAAACAAGCTCGGGAGATAGACCCTTGTAGAATAACATTTGGACCCAAGTGTAATACAAGTCCCATCTGTGAAATAACATTTCGAATCCAAGTGTAGTAAAGGTCTCATCTGTTATGGCCTTTGGTCCCAGCTGAGATAATCTCAAGTAGTTTAAGGCCTGGGACTAAGTGGTTTACCTGTAAGTCACCTGTGGAAAATGAATTATGGGCTCTAACTTCGGCATAGATAATGGCGCTGAATCAAAAGTAGGCACACTTAAAGAACTCATCGTCCTTAACATTTATAAGTATTAATATTGTGTCAGTAAGTCACGTGATATGTCACGTGATCATTTAGCTAAAACTCGTAAATTATTGAGCAATTGGTGGCCGGTTTAAGAAAAGAAATTCGAGCAATAACATTTTTCTAATTCGTATTAAACATTTCTAACACTTCACGTTTGGAATGACCGTCCATTGCAGTTCAATAAAAAAGTATCAGGAAAAATATCATTTTAAATGCCCAAATTTAATCTTGAATTATTTAAAACTTGAAGTTTAAACTTCGCGTACATTCATTCCAATTAAACGTAGAAAGTTAGGTTTGTTTATCCTCTTTCAGAAATGCCAATTTGTTTATCCAAACAAAGTAAATTCGCTACCAATCCGCCAATTTCCTTCATTTTCAATTTTTGGCCACATGACATGTCACGTGACCATAAATAAACGTTAAGGCACAAGAAAATCTCAAGATACACTTTGGGGGAAAAATTCATTTGGTTTTAGGTCTCCTAGCGAGAGATATTGCCAATCATTCTTATATGCTCAGAACACTCCTTTCACCCAGGCCTTAAAACCCCTCGAGATATGAGACATGTCCACAACAGTCCTGTACGTAGTTACCTTAACTTACAAGGTCTGGAAGTACTCTAACCTTCGATCAATCCACGGTCTGATTTCTTCGGGTTGGTGCATTTTTGGTTTATTAAATTTCCATATAATCCCATATATTTATTATACATGCAGTAATAGCTAATATGCATAGAGTCGAAACATGGGTGCCAAGAGAGGGTGTATGTATAATAAATGTATGGGGATATACGAAAATCTTACCTTTCGTTTTGTCTTGTTTTGCTAACATGCTAAATTATGGGATATCTTCGGTTTTGTGGACCCCATTTTCAGCGAAAACTCCTCTCTAAGAAAGCTGTCCTACACTGCACGATCTAGACAGGTACGGCGAGCTAAGGCGAACAGTCGAAATTGCAGGTGAATTCCTTCGTATAGAGGGTTTTCACATGACGTCACGGCGGCCATATTGGTGTTCCAAAACAGCAAAACGGCGGCCATATTAGTATTCCAAACCACACTTTTCTGATGTAAAATATTTCTTTTATTTTAATAAATTTGCATAGATGATTAAGACGTGAGTGAAAACGCTCTATGAGAAGACCACGAAAGCAGCGCAATATAGATGCTGGACTCCGATCGGAGACAAGCATTTGATCATGAATGAGTCGTGGAACTGGTTTGCCATTAAAGAGAGTAGCATCTTAGTCCAATGAAAACCTTCGTCACCGTTAGTTTTCTCCGACTTGACTGACCGCCCCTGGGTCTCCGAGGACTCTAACAGGCAACCCATTGGCATTTTGAACTTTTAAGGTTTGATTTGTTTAAATTCCCACTGAAATGCCCCGGGTTCTGGATAAACAGCGATCAGTTGCTTCTATCCCTGAGATTAGCCTCATTAGCGTGGTAGAAAACGGCGAGAAATTTGCATACGGCAAATGTAGCACACAGCTTTATTTTATTTTTTTTTCTGGTTTTACTAACGAACACTATCACTACCGTTACTGGTACTGGTGCTGGTAATGCTACATGGTTACGGCTTCGGCCGCTTGGGCTACTGCTTCTGGCTCCTTTTCAGTGCTGCTACTGCTACTGCTACTGGTACTGCTACTTGACAACTGAAAGTGCTACTGCTACTACTACTGGCTACTGCTACTGCTGCTGCTGCTACTGGCTCCTGCTGCCACTCCTACTGCTACTGCTACTACTACTACTACTACTACTACTACTACTACTACTACTGCAACGTAACTACTACTAATACTATCGCTGCTGCTGCTACTTCATGTCCACTTGTAAAGGGTGCTGTTAATGTTGTACTGACAATGTTTGCCGTCAACACAGAGAGCAAGATTCGCAACAGCAAGATAAGTGTGACCGTTGTGCACAAATGACGTCATACCATGAGCGTTGTGGGTTGAAAGTTCTTGATACTTGACGAACTGTGATCCAAGGGCCTGGTATATAACAGAATTTGCTTGATGATTGGCAACACCCAGGAATGTTCGTCCGCACATATCAAATGGGTGCCAGGTAACAGCTCCATAAGTAGTGATTGGCCGGACCTTTATAAACTGACGCCCATTCCACTTGTAAATGTTGGGTTTCTGTCCATCTGCTCTGTTTGCAAAGGCAAGGAAAGTGTGGCCATTCATTTTAAACGATATCACATCTCGAACTTCATATGTACGAATAGACTGCCACTGAACAAAGTCATACCCTGACCATTTGTAAACAGCTGAGGTACAGCTCATTTTATTTGCAAAAGCAATTAAAGTTTCATTGTTAATTAGAAATGCGGCACTTCCGTAACCTCCAACTGTTGGTATCTCCTGAAACTTATCAAACTTGCCGTTTTTCCACTTATAGATGACTGACCTTACATTGTTTGTAACATCATCATGCCAATTTGTAACGGCAAGAAAATATTCTTTTCCTATTTTAAAGAAACTAATCCTGCTTGCTCCTTTAGTTGAAACGTTTTGGAAGACAACGAATTTTAGTCCATTCCACTGATAAATAACTGAGTTCACTCGATATGTGGTTTTAGTTTGCATATTAGCAACTGCGAGGTAATGTTTATTAGCAATTGTAAAGAATTTCATGTTACGTGCTCCTGAAGTATTTATGGCTTGGAACAAAGAGAATTTTTCAGTCAAATAGTTGAATTTGAAGATGAAGGACTTTGTGTTGACTCCATCAGTATCACTTATATGATTGGCGAAGGCAAGAAACTGACTTCCATTGATGGTAAACTGTTCAACGTCAGCGGCTCCTGCGGTTAGAAAATCTTGGTATTTTTCAAAGTGTTTACTGGAACAATCTAAGAAGAAAAAAAAATTCATACAGTGAGCACTAAAATTTTATAAAATAAAATTAAAATATTTTGTATAACAACCATCGAGTAGAGGGCCTAATTACAGACAAAACTACCTAGTTCTAACAGAAAAATACAAAGAAGTTTGTGATAAAAATGCCTCTGGAAAGGAAACGGGCTTCGGGCAGAGTCCACCTGACTTCAATTCTAGAGATAAAAAGAGCGGTCTGAACACATCAATACCCTGTACAGCTTGCTTAACCGTATTGCAATTCAAGACTTGTAAATGTTTGTAAGCCTTTTTTTAACTAGGTAGTTAATAATAATAATGATAATAAGTAATGGTAACAGGACTGAGTGGAGTCCAATTCGGTCTGTAATCATACGAGTGATTAACAAAATCGGACGACCGCGTAGCGGGAGTCCGATTTGTTTTATCACGAGTATGATTATAGACCGAATTGGACGACACGAAGTTCTGTTACCAATTAATCATAACTTTTACAAAATTTGTGATATAATAGGCTATTTTTTAAATAAAACAAAAGAAATTCCAAATTTTGTTTTGCTAGCAGTGGAAAAATAAAGCCATTTAAGCGCGCGCGTGATGGCGCGTACTGTCCAATTACTTAGGCATGACGAGCACTGTCCTATTAAACTGTCCAATTAAGGCTGAAATCAGGGCAGTTGATAGCCAATCAGATTTGACATTTTGTTATAGTTATGATAATAATAATAATAATAATAATAATTATAATAATAATGCCAACTATTAAAATCCTATTTATAATTAATTCACTGGAAAAAAAGAAAAACTAATCATTCAAAACACTATTTACAATTCCTGTCGATTTAAAAAGCACTTAATTTAGCTTAGAAAGAGTTAATTTAACTAAGAAAAATTTATTCGAATTAAAAACATTTCATTTCAATAAAAAAGAACTGTCAGCCTCTAAAATTCAAAAGTTTCTTTCAAACGTTTAAAAAAAGTAAAATAAAATAAAGACACTTAATAAAGCATAATAATATAATAATAATAATAATAATAATAATAATAATAATAATAGTGGAAACTTTATTTGTGTTTTTGAAAATACAATTGTAAATCTCGCTACGTATAGGCAATTTACAAATGTTACTTGAGATTGGATTATTAAAAAAAAAAATCAAAATTGCATTAAGTCTGGACTATCCCAGTTCCTATTTCTACAACAAAATATGTAATATGTTGCTCTAATAGCTACATTTATCATTTTCTTGATTTTATAATAATAATAATAATAATAATAATGATAATAACAATATCATAATAATAACATATTTAACCAGGGTAAACCCGTCAGCTGAAACTGTTATAAATGGGTGCCCTGGGCAACTAAAAGATTAACAATTAAAGGACAAAAATAACTATACCAGAACAACTATCAGAAAAATGTAAAAACTATGTAGTACAATGTCGTTGGTTTATAAAAACTTGCTTAAGGTATGGCTGCTTGCATTCAGTAGCAGGTCTTAGCTGCCTCATTCTCAGGGCCTAGCTAAATGAGAAACACAATGGGAAGATTGCTAGTTAGCCATCGAGTGCGTACTAGAAACCTTGTTCCCAAACTTCACTAAAGCTTGCCTACTATCCACGTGGAGTCTGGGTACGAGGCAGAGGTTCTAATGAACCTGGCGCTTGTAATTTAGTTTTTCACTTGGTATAAGCTTCAATGAAAGCTTGCAGCAGTAATTATGCATTGATGGCCTACGCAAATTTACAGATTTAGGCAAATCTAAAAGCGGACCTCCCATGTGAATTAAACAAAGCCAGATAACAGAGGAGAGATTCAAACAAACTGTAAAACCAGTGAACAGTTACATCGTTTATATTATCAATATTGTGTAAGGTAATTAAGCTTTGCAAAAGCCCATGTTCTCTCTGCCCAGGTAAACACTGGCAAAAAGGCAGCAATTGTCTCTTCAATGCAAATTCGGTCGAATTATTCCCGCCATGTTTGCATGCACGTCGAGACGGACAAATACTCCAGTGGGCAAGACTTAAATTGCAGAGCGTGAGATGTAGACGAAGGTAACACGGGAATGACCAGATGAAGAGAAGGATTGTGCTTGGTCGTTACACCAAGCATTATTATTATTTTCGGTCAAATCATCCACGCATGACAGCAGAGGTGAAAAATAACTGAAAGCTCTGTTCAAGAAATGATTATATTTTAGATCATAGTACACTTCCTTAATAAGTTTACGAAGAGATAAATCATACCATAACACTTGCGGCCATTCCCAGTGAAACCTGGCTGACAGGTGCATGTGAAGTTTCCCGCGGTATCTGCCCAACAAGTTGCATTTGGATGGCAATCATGACTACCGTTGCTGCATTTATCAACGTCTAAATAAGCGGGGAGAAAAAGAAAAGAGCAAAGTAAACGATCCGATAACAAAAAAAAACCATGGCCAACAGCTCTAGCCCTTATTTCTGAAAAGCCGCAGCCGGGCCTTTGTAGCCTGTGTACAGACGTCTCTTCTGAGGGAGGGGGGACGTCTGTACACAGGCTAGGCTTTTGACAATGGCCCACGTTTGATAAAGCAAAATTCTAACATTACTCCCGAGGCTTTACGGACGAAATTGTAAATTTTTTAGGGCTCCATTGTTTTGCATTCCCAAAAGAGACTTGAGCACAAAGAAAACCAAACCAAATATAGGAAAATTACCAGACAGCCTTGTAGTCATGTTAGAATTTTAATATATCGAACATGGGCTATCAGAGAAAAACTCAAGAAAATTTAAGTTGTAATCGCGTTATGCTAATTTTCCTAATTTGCCCTTTTCATACTTTACTTTATTGCCAAGAGAGTATGTATAGAATTATAATGCCGCTTACGCAAGTAGTTTGCGCTTTGCCCCCTTTCAGAACCGTAGTTTGCGATGTGTTTTTCTTGTCGCGGCCACGAGTTAACTTATGGTGAATAATAAAGATGTGGTAAAAAGATATGTCGTGTTCGCCACTCTTGAGTCTTAACAACTGTTATGGCCATTCTGCATTTTGTGGTTACTCAAAGCACTAGTCTTCGAAATACACTTTACTTTTAGTGATGGTGCCACGGGGGGTCATTAAATTATACTTACGGCAATTGTCCCATCTCCCTTTATACTGACTATCTAAAGAACACCAGAGTCTATGATGATCAGCATCGGTGCAAGAGTTGTATGTCACGCCTTTGTAAGTGAAGGGGATAATGCAGCATTGACCAGATGTTGTCCTCTGAGGGCACACAGTTGGTGTAATCTTTGTGGTCGTTAACACTGAAAGGTGAAAACAAAAGCGCAAACGAAATTGTAACATCTGACTTTTGAGGGGGCGGGGGAGGGTGTATGGTGGGTGATCTGAGAAAAAGACAAGAACGCTCTTACCGCGGCTTACAGTCTCCCCTTGTTTGGAGATTAGATCGAGAAATGGGGAGGCGATTAATTCTACACGAAATAGGATTTACTCGCTACAGGTCTCTTGCTTCCTACTTCATCGATGTCGAGTATTTTTCAGGATATTTACTTTTTATTTGTTTCTGAACGGATTTGGTATACGCGCGTTTAGCGACGACTGGAGATACGTCTGTGGTTGCAGGCTATACGCGTGTATAAAAACACGAAAATTCAACGGCCTCGATTGCAGAGAAATTACATCATTACCAGAGATCAAAAAAGTGATTTACATGCCACGTCATTTCAATCATCGCCGAAAATAAACCACATGCTCATTACAAGACCATTTGCATACAATAGGTGGCTTTCATGCAAACTCGGCTGAAAGAGTGGCAGCTGATCAGATTCAGTCCTACTTAAATGAGCATGATCTTTTTCCTTCATTGCAATCAGCCTATCGACGGCACCATAGCACAGAAACTGCCCTGCTTAAAGTCAAGAATGACATTCTGATGAACATGGAAAATCAGAAGGTCACGTTGTTAGTGCTTCTTGATTTAAGCGCCGCGTTTGATACCGTGGACCATAGGATTCTCTTAGATCGCCTTCAGTTTGATTTTGGAATTTCAGGCTCTGCACTTAATTGGATTGAATCGTACCTTTCTAACAGAACCCAGCGCATCTATATAGACGGAGTTCTATCGAGTAATTTTAATCTTAAATTTGAGTTCCACAAGGCAGCTGTCTCGGGCCATTATTGTTTTCCCTCTATGCTAGTAAACTTTTTAAGATCGTCGAATCACATCTTCCTAATTCCCATTGTTATGCAGATGACACGCAACTGTACATCGCGTTTAGATCAGGAAATGATTTGGAGGAGACCGCTGCTATAACTGCCATGGAATCATGTATTGCTGATATCGGTAGATGGATGCATTCGGATAAGTTAAAACTGAATTCCGATAAGACAGAATGTCTTCTGATTGGAACACGACAACAACTTCAGAAAGTCAGTAACATTAGTACCTTATCGGTTGGGGACTCCCAAATTGCTCCATCTTCTGAAGTTCGAAACCTAGGAGCTTGGTTTGATTCTAAAATGAGTATGCTAAGTCATATCAACAAAACTTGCTCATCCGCTTTCAATTATCTTTATAACATGCGTAGAATTAGGAAATATTTAAGTCGTTCAGTCACCGAATCATTAGTTCATGCTTTTATCACCAGTAGAATAGATTATTGTAACAGTCTACTATATGGCCTCCCGAATTCACATATCATGAAACTCCAACGGATACAGAATGCCGCGGCTCGGTTGGTCACCGGAACACCTAGATTCTGCCATGTTACACCATTGCTTTTCCACCTTCATTGGCTTCCAATAAGTTACCGTATAAAGTTTAAGATTCTACTTTTGACATTTAAGTGCTTATATGGTCAAGCTCCTAATTATCTAATTGATTTCATTACTACCAAAAAGCAATCCAAGTACTCTCTAAGGTCAAATGAGTCTATATTCCTCGAGTTACCATGCATTAAGACCCATCCAACTCTTGGATCGTGCATTCCAGTCAGCTGCACCTTATCTCTGGAATGCATTACCTTCGGAAATTCGCAACATGAATACATTGGACACTTTTAAGACTGCTGTTAAAACTCATTTTTTCAATTTAGCTTTTAAATAGATTTAATTGTTGGCTTTTATAATAGTTTTTTTTTTTTTTTTTTTTTTTTTTTAATTATTATCATTATTTATTTATTTATTTTTATTTATAGTTTTTAATACTTTTTTATTGTAGTTTTTAATAGTTGCTCATGCTTTAGTCACCTTTAACATAAATTTAATATAACAATATTGTAAAGCGCAACCGAATATATTCATATAGAGGTTTGCGCTATATAAATGTAAATTATTATTATTATTATAACTCGGGAGACACAAATAACAATGGTGAAATGAACAAACGCTGGTGGACAAACAAAGCGAGCTAATGAGCGATCTTTTGTTTACCGTCCACCAGCATGGCGGCGATGACGTAACGTGAAAACCACCTATAATGAAAGTTTACAACACCCGACCATCGCAGTTTTGCTAATAAAGATTCTTATTTTTTTCGACCACTTAGTAGTGTTCACTTGTTCCAAAGTAATCAACGCTTTCAAGCGATAGAATTCGTGGACCGACACGTTTCGGAAAAGCTCTAAATTTATTCTTTCCTAAGCTTTGTTCGCAAAATATGCGTGGCTTCGGGTCACGCAACGATTCTTATTCCCAGTTTCCACGGTCTCTTCTAGGAACGCCTAGCACCATGACTCCCTTTTACATAGGCGTACGGGCCGTGGGGGCGAGGGGGGCTGCAGCCCCGCCAAATTTTGGGCAACTCAGACTTTTTGGGCAGCGAGAGAAAATTTAGGCAAAGCCAGTTTTTAAAGACGTCTCCATGTTTATTTAATTATTTTAAAGACCTGATTATTAACCTGAAGACGGCGTAATCATCCAATTCTACAGTGGTTGCCTAGCATGTGATGAATAATTTACATATTTGCAGTTTTTTTGGTTGGGCACTATACCGCACTGCACTAGCTGGAATGGGCTATTTCCAGTCGAATCATCTCCACTCGACGAACAGTGTATGGCAGATAGCATTTAGCAATGGGTATAGCCTGCATGGCAAGCGTTTCCGCGCGAGTTCTGCTACGCGGGCTACAATGGGTATGAAAATGAAGAAGTGGCTGACTAATTCTCAGTTTGAATTACGAGAATAATCTTAATTCTTTTAAAAATCTATCAAGCGGTTTAAATTATTCGCTAATTTGTTAAAGTAGACCGAAAGGTTTACAAAACCGCTAACAAGAGTGTCTCGATACATACTAATCAAATCCTTCTTTCAATTCTAACAATCAAGCAGAGCTATCTCCACGATCTTTCACACATGCTTTTAAAAAGATTAAAACTACTATGAGGTGAAATAGCAGGTCAAAAGCGCTTCGTTTTCTACAAATGACGGCCAAAAATCAAGATTTTCCTTCTCTTACCGTATTTCTAATAATAAAAACTTCGTTCAAAATATCTCAATAACGCTCTTAAGGTTCTGCTTAAACTTCACGAACATCGAGGCGACCGTATAGGAGAAAAAAGCTCCTGTGAACGATTTTGTACGGTTCCCGTGCCGAGAATCATTGCTGAAGTAAAATAGGTAATGGAGTCATTTCGTTGCTATGACAACTTCGATGTCATTGCAACCCTGATGATGCCAAATTTTCATCTTAATACAACTGTGGTCGCAATTTTTCCAAATGTTTGTTTATGGCGACCCTGAAAAACTGCATCGAGCCACCTTAATATGCCAGTACGGCCTACGTTGTTGCAATATGGCCCTCATTTCTTTTCGACTCTTTCGTAAAAATTTGGGCAACTTGCGTGATTTTTTTGGGCAAATGTTTTATCGCCCCCACTGGCAAAAAAATTCCCGTACGCCTATGCCCTTTTATGCCATAAGGGACCGGTCATTATTTATCGCCTGGGGGGGGGTCGGAGTATTTAGGGGGGGATCACATGGTTTTTTGAAGACCTTTAGGGGGGGATCAGCCGTAATTGACAAGCATAATGGGGGATCAGACGAAAAAAAAAGGAATTTTAGGTCGCGCCGGGACCCCGGGTGAGTGCATTTGTAAATACTTTGGTAGGATTTGCCACTAGGACTCTAAACCCCCAACCATATATTCAAGACCACGTTCAGTTGTATTTTGTATTATATAAACTTTATTCTAGCCCAGACACAAAACCCAAACCCTTTTACAGACCCTCCATTTTGTAAAAAAAGTATCACTATCGTAGTCTAACATACACGTTGTTAATGAGGCACGATCAATCAGGTAATCAAGATTTTGAGAATGGAATACTTACAATTGCTCAAAATTGTTTCATGACGTTTCAGTTTGTTTTATAGAGAATCGTAATCTAAAATCATAAACGTTCATTATTTTAATACGCGGCCGAATGAAAACAACAAATAAAAAAGTGTTTATTTTGGTGAGGCTGTATCTTGTTCCGCTTCCGTGTCAGAATCTTCGGCAGCCCTCTCCACTGGCTCTTGCACAGTCTCCACGTCAGATTCATCGGAATCCTCGCCCGAACTTGACCCTCTTTCAGCACCATTACTGCTATTCTCTTCGTTCATTCTGGCCACTACCACTTTCAAATTGCGTGCCAGCTCTGTTTCAAACACGCCTCTTTCCAAAAGCCATAGCAGAGGATCCAGGTGGAGACGCTTGACAAATCTCGCAGTGAATCCTGCATTAATACTTGAGACACATTTGTAAGTATTCTTTTCGAGTGAATCGAAAACCTCTTTAGCTACCTCTTTTTTGAGGTAAGTTTTTCTAGGAGAATTGCTGCTCGCTGACGTAACCTTTCCTCCTTGATTTTTTTTTCACTTTTCTCTTGTTTTCTTTTTTTTTCTTCGGATAGGCCGTTGTTCCCCATGGAGATGGGAACTTTCTCTTCAAGCTCATGAGGGTGGTCGTGAGCGCATTGGAGGCTTTCTGCAGCTCTTGGTGTAAGGCCTTCACTCGCTCTTGAGCTTCCTGGAAATATTTGAGCTCATCACTTGCAAACGGCCTTAAGGTATGCTCTTCTGTATAAAGGTTCTTTCGTCTGTTCTTTCGTCCTGTTCGTCTGAGGATCTTTCAGAAGAGGAAATCAAACAACTGTCTCTCCAGTCATACGAAGAGTACGAAAAGAAACGGATGGAGAAAAATGCCTGGTATGTCTGTAGTCAGGTAGCCGAGAGAATTGATGATGTCCCTGTCCTTAAAGATTACATCAAGAGCAAAGTAAGCGAGTCCCCTGATGAATTATTCTTTTTCAATTCTGTTTACCTCGACAACTATCGGGGTGCATCAGAACGAAACAAAGAGCAAGCGTCCGGTGCAGCATACTCCCGAAAGATCGAATCGTTTATGGAAGACCACTATATTCGTGGAGAACTTTTTATGGAATTCTGTCGTGATGCCTGTAAAGAGTCAAGAGAAGAAAGTTCCAATCTCTGTTCCTGGTGTTCTAACAATAGATGGGTCGGTCCAGAAACGGAAAGAATTCCGCAACCTGTACCAGACTCAAACAATCCTGGACATTTCATGGATATCTATCAGACGGAATCGACGGGCAGGACACCAGATGATTACCTTCCAAGAAAATGTATTAAATATCTGTACGAGGAACATTCTGACAGTATCAGAAACGATCAGGATACCATGAAGAGCTTCTGCTCAAAATATAATGTGGAAGAGAAGCACGTCATTGCATATGTTAATCATTTGAAGGATATTGAGATCCGAAAGGACATGAGAACAAGAGCAGCTGAGGAGCGAAGAAGGCAAGAGGGCGAACGAACGTACAAGGACTTTCAATGGGATAACCTCATCGAGGGTGGCAAAGTTGAAAAGTTGCGGGTAAGAGAACTAGACCTGTATCTCAACAAGCATGGTTTGACGACTGTGGGTTGGAAACTTGACAAAGTTAAGGCCATTCGATGTCACTATTACCGACAGAATAAAGAGACTGTGATAACAGAAGAACTGTCGAGTGATGAAGATGACGTGGAATCCGAGGATGAAGAATCCGAAAGTGAAGAGGCAGAGAGCGACGATGACTATGTTTTCGTGGATTTGGATGAACAGCCTGAGATTGGCACTTCCGCGACAATTCAGTTCGTATCTGACGAGCAAATATCTACCGTTGTTGTTCAAGGTCCATGAGACGTAAGTACCACTATCAAAGATATCACTTGCATATTCAAAAAGTTATTTGGCGGTGGCTGGGAGAAAGGGGGGGGGGGGGGATCATGAAACTTTCCACTACCAATAAGGGGGGATCTTTAAAAAACTAGATACTCTACGGGGGGATCAGGTAAATGCTCCGATGTGACAACAAAAATACTCCGACCCCCCCCAGGCGATAAATAATGACCGGTCCCTAAATACGAAGAAAAACGGCTAGCAGACTGATTTCGAGGGGAAAAAACAGTCGTGCAAGGAAATATATATACCTATATATATCTATCATGGCGTACTGCTGGGAAAAAATCTTACACAGTTATATCACTCTCCGGCAAAAAAAATCACATCTTCAGAGGTTTCGGGAAGAAAATTCTTACCCAGACCTAATCACCAATACTCCCCCTCAAAGGTCAAATGGTCGACCCCTTACCTGCCAGGTTAAATCGCTTTTTAATCCTTGGATACACTAGGTAATTCATACCTCCACCTGGCGCCGTTGAAGCGCCTTTGGGTTTTCGCTGCATTATAATGGCGGTATTTACACTAGGCTGTAAAGTAAGACTTAAGAGCTGCTAAGTTTTACTTAACCAAAAATTCGTGTGTAAAGGCCTAAGTAAATCTCAAGTAACTTTACTTTGCATCTCATTAAAGTTGGAAAGTTGAAACGATTCAAAAAAGTTTCAAGCGGCTTGAAAACCATCCTTAAAACCGACTTAGCTGACTTGCGGTTACTTGCGGTTTCTTGAGGTTTGAGAAAGGCGAAACACGTCAATCAATCGTAATTATGTTGCGTTGGAAATTAGCCTTAAGTTAACCTGGCCTCGGTTGTTCAAACGTTGGATAGCGCTATCCACCGGATAAATCACTATCCAGCGGATAAGTATCATGGAAATCAATTGCGCTATCCACTGGATAGATTTTTATCCGGTGGATAGTGCTATCCAGCGTTTGAACAACTGGGGCCTGAAGTAAAAAAGAATCGGTTGTGTGTGAAGCTTTATTTTACTTGAAGTAATTAAAATTTACTTGTCTTGAAATGTTTCTTAGCTTATTTAGGCTCTCGTGCAAAGACTGCCATAAAAAATGTTTTGAATAGTTTAAGAATTTAAGTTGATAGATATACTTCGATGAGATCAACAAGTTCATGATACAAATTTTGTGTCCTATACGTTTCTTTGAGATAAAAATGGCTCTCTTTTTGGCGGCCACTGATATCTTCAATTAATCGCAAATGGCCCGCAAATGGTAATATAAAAATTGCGAAAACTTGATCTGTTTTTCCGATTTTTTATGCTTGAGGCCTAAGAATATGTTGTGATAAAACAGTTGGTTGCTTTCGGTACTGCTTTGTAAGCTTTTTTGGGCATAATGATGGGAAAAGCTCGCTCAAAAAAGAAAGAAAGAAAAAAAACAATGGAATAGAAAAATCTGAGAGTCACGTGTCACCCACCCCTTCCCTTCTTTTACGTCAAAGATTAATCAGGCCAATTAATTAAAAACTTACCGCAATTCTCCCATCTCCCGTTATACTGATTATCTAACGAACACCAGAGTGTGTGATGTTCAGCATCGGTGCAAGAGTTGTATGACACGCCTTTGTAAATGAAGGGGATACTGCAGCATTGACCGGATGTTGTCTTCTGAGTGCAAACAGTTGGTGTTCTTTTCGTGGTCGTTAACACTGAAGAGAAAGCGAAATGGTAGCATCACTCAGTAAAATTGGTTAATTAACAGTTAATGAATGAGGCTGAGTATCTTGTGAAGAATTATGGAGATCGAGGAGGGTGTTATCCGTCGAGGCCGTAGGCCGACGCGGATAACACCCTCCGAGTTGTCCATAATTCTTCATATGATACGAAAGCCGAATTCAATAACTGTTTTATTATTCATTCAAAATAATTCCTAGTTTAAAAGCATAGCTAAAACATGCTTACCTCCATCGATCCATCGATGTTCAGTTCATCTTCGATAGTGTACGTTTAGGTTTGTCCAGCTCCGCAAATATTCTCCAAATGGCAGATGTCGCCCTTCGAGTTGTCTTCTTGCTGTTCGTGCCCTGTTTTTAGCTATTTTTTCGACTAGTTCTTACTCTTGAAACGAGTGAAATGTCCGCCATTTTTTCAAGTTCACAACCAAAACAACTCAACCTCGTCCCCAGGTCTTCTCGGTTAACGGTGCCTTAACCTGCGAAAACGCTGCATTTCTGACGTCATTTCCTCGTTAAAGTCAAAATTCTTCCAAATTTGGTCATCAGTACCTGGTTATGGTGAATTAAACGTGTGCTTTTAGCCAATCAGAATCGGGGTAATATTTTGAATGAATAATAAATCATTTTAATTCTCGGATATACCGTGAATTTTCTATGTTATTCATACCCACTACCTTGACTTACAGGGGGAAATAGGGCCTTTAAATCCTGATCGGGTTGTGGCTGTTTCGTCGAAAGCATTTTATTGATAGACTGTGATGAAATCTACAAGATACCGTAAGAGCAGCTGAAGAGTATTGTGAGCTATGACGTTGCTGCTGAGGACTTGAGAGTTAAAAATAGCTGTTATTTTGGCAGCTATCTTGGATTTAATTGAAAATTATGTTTTGGTTGTACTGCAGAAAAGTAACATGTTTTATGCTTGAGGCTTAAAACTATGTTTTGATTAAATTAAGTTGGCAGTTTTTGGTACTGTTTTATACGCCGTTGACTGCTTGGGCAAAATGCGTGGCGAAAAACTCGCTCAAAAATAGCTTCAGATTCGTTCATTGTGTCAGTTATTACGTCATCATAGCAGCTACAAAAATGTGTCCTATAAGTAAAAGAACTGCAACTGAAACGACTAAACCCTGGCGCCAAAATCAAAAAAAGAAAGACAATGACAGACATTCCAAAAAAAGGGAAAGAAATTAAAAGAAAAAAGAAATCTAACAGTCGGATGGCATCCACCCCTATATTTCTCTTTTGCTTTAAAGATCAATTAAGCCAATTTACTTACAACAATTCTCCCAATGCCCTTTATACTGACTATCTAATGAACACCAGAGTCTGTGATGATCAACATCGGTGCAAGAGTTGTAAGTCACGCCTTTGTAAGTGAAGGGGATGCTGCAGCATTGACCTGAGGTTGTCTTCTGATGGCAAATTGTTGGTGGCATCGTAGTGGTCTGCGAACCTATAGCAATAAAAAGAGAGCGATGAAGTAATGATAAAAAAGCATTAAGCATTAGTTGTGACTTCCATCTGCCTTCTACAATGCATTTCTCTGCATTTGCTTCTGCAGGGTATGGTTTTTTTGTCCTCTCTTTCCTAAACAGACCGTATGATTTCGCGCGAGTCTGTCTCAGTTGTAAAGTAAAACAGAGTATTGCCTGCACAATTGAGTTGCTTTGTTTGATGAATTTTTTTGTGCTCCAAGTTTACAAAAGCAATGACTAACAACAATTTTCATTCGTTCATTTTGTCGTTTGTCCTAAACAGGGTAATGAAATTGAGGGTATTGTCTCAAACATTGTTTGTCTAGAAGATGTTTTATCCTAAACAGTCGCTGAGGGTGGTTTCAGACCCTCAGCGACTCACCTCTAGCCAAATATTAGTAGAGTATCGCCCCACCCACCCGGGGCTAACCGTTCCGAATCTCAAGTGGATTACACATCAACCCACGTACACTAAAATAGAATCACGTAATTCATTTGATTAACAAGTTGTCACAACTGGATCACAACCTCTATTTGAACAATGTCTGGAAGCATGAATTAACATGATCCCTTCATAAGCTGAAATTGCCGAGGAAGGAGCAATGTTCTAAAATGACGGTACAATCACATGATGTTAATCGACTTTTGAAGTTGAAAACATTTTAAATCCAAAAAAACAATTTTTGGATTTAGTTTTCGCATAATAGGACTTTATGACGTCGTGGTCCATGTGAAAAAAATGCTTAGTAGGGAACTTCTTAATTTATGTAGAATAACTCTTTTGAAGCACGCATCATATGGCAAACAAAGTTTTAAAAACAACAGCGACCTCCAGTGTCACACGACATAACACTGACATTCCGGCCTTCCGTGAATGACAACGGGAAGTTTGTCTTTTTAATTTTGCTTGATGGAGGGAACGCCTCTGTCTGACCACAGGTCTGAAAGCTTTTCTTTATACTCTTGTGATATGACGCCACAGAGTCGCAACACTAAGAGGGAGAAAATGAGGATCAACTTTACCATGAATCTTCTGTAGAGTATTTTAACAACTGACAAAACCTGTTAGACAAGTGACACGGCCTTGAAAGACCTTGAAACGGCTACACGGCCTGGAGACAGATGAAATGGCGACAAACGACACAAAGATGGGTTGAAATTATAAGGACAATTACGATAGTAAAGTATCGACAAAAGACACGGCTTTCTTTTCAATGCGCGAAACGACTGGATTTAAAATTTAGACAAAGCCCAGTGGGGTATGAGAAGTTTTAGTTGGAGTCTTATACAGCTTTCCTTTTCAGATTGATACAGTGGATTTTGATTTGCCATTTTAGGTCTTTTAATTTAGGTCTTCACCAGGTAACCACCCGATTTCAGTGTAAGCTACTGTAAATACAAGTTTCTAATCAGAGTCATCAGAAAGCGGGTTACCTCCATTCTTCTTGGTTTCCTTTGCTTTCGCTGCTCTGTAAGAGTTCGGCTTAGAGCTTGGTTGCCTTGCACCAAGCATGGCGGCCAGAATACCAACCACAGTCACAATGGCCGCTATAATGAGCAGGAAAATGAGAATTTGCCACAATGGGAAAACAAATCGCCTGTTAAAACACGCCTTAACATCCTGTTTCCAGGTTTCTGTTCTGAAATCTTCAGAACCTTCAAAAGGCTCCTGGGGGTTATTGAACCGCTTCAAGTTGAACATTGCACTGACTTGAATCTTCAATAATGAGCTCAATGAGCGTCAAAGGTCTTCCTTTTATTGAGCTTCAATGATAGTATACGTGCTCCAACGTGTTCCAGCATGATGACACACCCTTGACCCGACGCTTATCATGGCCTCGTACTTACCAGGACAGTAAGTAATTAAATAAACCGCTCATATAACAAAACCAAATGCAGCTAGCATTCTCGTCAAGGCAGTTGTCATAGTCCAATGAAATCGCTAAATCTAAATTTATCTGCAACTTTAGTCTTTAAAAGAAAGAAAGCGTCGATAGATGAAAAATAGCGATTCAAGGATACGCCTGGAGAAGCAGGGATTGTGGGAGTTGAGCAAGTACAGAGTAGCAAAACTCAGCTGAACTTGGTCCGAGGGTTCCGGAGTCCCAGCAGCACCATCCCCACCCAAGGATTCCTAAGGCCGGGGGGGTACTCCTGGGAATTCTCGGTGAGGGTGTGCCGCCTGGTACTCCAAATCAAACGAAAAAATGTAATTTTCCGCACCCGTTTTCAGACTAGAAGTCTAAAATCTATACCCGTTTTCACACCTGGCCTTTAGGCAGAAATTATGTTATCATTACTTAGATTAGAGCGCAGCCAAAAAATACTTCAAATCCATTTCGAATTCGCATATTTCTAGCTCTTTCTCTCTTTCTCATTTGGAATTGAAATGATAAATACGTTTATACAGTCCGTAGTTCCCTTGAAAACTATACCCGATTCCACAGCAAAATGGGCAAAGTGTATACCCGTTTTCAGACCAAAACGGCCCAAAAACCCTACCCGATGGGGCGGCAGATACTTATGTAGCTTATATAAGGGAATACCCCCCGGGTCCTGAAGTATCCCCAGGGGGAACAAAGATTAACTTGGGCACGTGGATGTGCTGTAAATGCTCTCCTTGTTAATTGTGTCCCAGAAGAAGTCTTAGTTGGAGAAGGCGTTGGAAAAAAAGAGAAAGGTTATAACTACAAAACGTTTTCCATTGTGTTGCCAATAGTCTCTGCTAAAAAAAAGTTAAAAAGAAGTAATAGATTTTAAAAAACCCTCTTGAAAAAAATTGGTTACCCTCCTACGAAAACCGCTTCCAAAAAACATTCAAAAAATGGTCCAACAGTCTAGGGATCTTGCACTCAGGGTTCAGTCTATATTAAAATATTTTACAGCATAACAATCTCAACTTGATTTAGCTTCAAATCCTCTTTAGATATTGACTCTACACGGTATAAAAGAACGGGGATGCCAAAACTCGGGAGCACCCAACGTCAATTTTTGGAAAATATCGGTTGGGAGGACGATTTGAGATCTAGAATTTTCGGAATATTTGTTGTAAAATTTCTTGCTTGTCTGCCTCTCCAAGGATTTTCGAACATCTAAAAAATGGTATAGTTGCCCATTTTTAACGGATTTTTACCCTATAACGATCACCTAGAATTTACGGGAACCTTTTTTCCTGGCTGAAATTTTCGAAAAGGTAAGTTTTGATCCCTATAATTTTCGGATCACTAGACTTTCAATCAGCTAGGAAATCCGAACAGACAAAAAATTTTAAGGGGATAAAAATATGCCTATATCTACCGTTTAAATATTAAAATACGTTCAAAATGCTATGTTTAAGTGGTTTTGAACTATACCTTCGCTGAGTGTCTCTGAAAACTCGTACATGGGCAATTATAAAAATAAGGCTAGTCTAATCAGAAAGTGCGTTACCTCCGTTCTCCTTGGTTTCCTTTGTCATGGCTGCTTTGCTACAGATCTTCATACCTTGCAGTTTCCCTGGGCCATGCCTAGTACTTAGAATACATGCACCCACAATAATAATGATCGCAATAATGAGTAGGAAAACGAGAATACGCCACAGTCGGAAAGTAAATCGCCTGTTAAAAAACGCCTTCACACCCTGTCTCCAGGTTTCTGAATTACAATCATCAGAGACCACAAGAGGTTCTTGGATATCGAACTGCATCTTCATAGAAATTGTGTTTAAATCACTGATATGCTCTGTACGAAGCACGTCAAAGGTCTGCCTTTAAATCAAGCTTAGGAAGTTCCGCTTTTAGTTCAGTTTTTTCTTGACCTCACTACAGGAATTTCCGTCACTTAAATGGAAATCTAATATAACGGGTTCTGCCCAAGGAAAGCGCTACAAATCGTTGATAGCGAATCGTAAGAAGTTCCCACCCTAAATAAAAACACGTAATCCCGGGGGTACTCTGTTTAATGACCTACTGATACGCGGGTAGGAGAGAGAACCTGGGAACGAAGTTTCAGGCTTCAGGTGTATGAATGGGTAGGGATTTCACTAGTTGAAGTATAAGAAAGTGTAGGGAAAGATGTCATTGCGGTCAGTAAAAAGGCCCAAGAGGGCTAACAGATGCATTTTATGGTGGTGGAAAAGTCGAGAAAACGTTCTGCTTTTGTAATTTATTCATATTTTAAAGGCAGTGAACTGATTTACAGCAGTCAACCGTGAGGGATGCAAAGTCCTGCACTAGGTATGTGAAAGGGGTTCCATCAGTCAATAGAAGGTATATACGAAAGGGGTACCTTTTCTGTTAAAATGGTATATAAAAGGGTAAGGCACTGGACATCATGGCGGAGGCTCCAGGTATAAACTTTGTTGAGTACCCCCCTTGGGTACATAATCTGAAGCGAGATCTCTTGTCTATAGGAAGTTGTGAATACATTGGACTGAGCATTTCAATGACTTGTTTTTTTCTCGGTCCACGCATGTACTATTTTTTCTCAGCTCTAATTCACTTACTTCTCCACAACTTGTAACTTCTGCTAAAACGAGCAGTCTTTCCTTACGTTGAGAAATACCATTGTGTAACTAGCCAAAAGAAGAATATGATGGGGCAGATTAAAAACGGTGTGAGATATTGAACAGTCCTTGAATTAATTAGGGATATTATGCTCTCTCGGGCGCGACCCTGAGGAAGACAATATTATCGAAGATAGGAAGGATATGGTAGATGTATGATAAGTGTAGAATCAAAGTATGCTGGATTTTTTTTACAATACTATGCACGGTAACCAATTCATTCATGTTATTACAGATTGAAAAACTGGTGTAGAATAAATGTAACTCTAAATAATCCTTTATGAAGTTCCCCCCTTTTCGTAACTGCCCCCATTTTTAAGGCTGAAGAATGTTCTTTTAGTTAAGTACCTCTTTCGTAGGATTAGTTTAAGCGGTGACGTTTTTGAGCGACGCACGGAAACCAGAAGTGAGCTTTTTTCTTTTTTAATATGCCTTGACGCCACTAAATTTGTATTTCTAAGGTCTTTACTCTTAAAGAGATGATTTGCCCAACAATTTGTTCAAGTCACGGCCGAAGAGTGCAAAAAATTCCGCTTTCGGTTGACGTGCTTCGCTCAAAAACATCGTTGCTTAAACTTCCTCTCTCATCACGCTAATCCGCTCCACGTTGCATTGATCAAGGATGACGGGGCTTAAGTTTCCTTCGTAATAGTGCGGTTTTAGATTTTTCTTTTTTTTGATACATAAACAACTTGTGTAACAAAACAAGCCAGAGTGGTTTATCTTAAATTTCTCAGTTTTGCGGTCTCCTTGGTTTAAAGGGACCTCAAGATCCGAGGACGGCGACGTGAGATTCGCAATTATTCCAAATCACGTTTTTAAATGTAGGCAAACTCTCCTGCAGTTGAATTCCTTAGAAACTATATCCAAGTTCAGAATCGATAGGGATAGAAAATTTCGTCATCGCTTGTTTACGTCCTCTAAAAAAGGTGAACTTAGGGATACGTACTTGCAGTGAAGGCAAAGAAATGTACTAAAAAGCGGGATACACGGCAAATTTAAGGTGTTGTTAATTTCTCTTTATATCAAACCTATTGTTTTTCGACGTTCTTGTTGTCTTTGTCGGGTCTTAAATAAGGTCCCTTTAAATTTTATGCAGTATCCCGGACAATATTAGCCAATATTGCCCTGGGTCGGAGCCAAGCTATCGAAGACTTGGTCATTGCCTAAGCTAATAACATAAATGGAAAATTTTCGTTTTGGAGAGACTGAATACCGAGTTGTTACTATAGGAAAACCCTCTAGATTCATACAGTACGCTCTGATTTTAAGTGTTGTAAGATATTTCGTATCACAAGCTTCACTAGCTAACAGAATGTGCATCGCTAACTGGTAAAATTAGACGTCAGATGCATTCCGGATCGCTAGCTACTGGATTCCAGATTCTTTGTCACGGTGGAACTTAGATTCTCGATTTCAATGATTAGTGGGGTCCCGAATCCCTTGAGCTGTATTCCAGATTCCAAATCCCCGGATTCCTGAACCTACAAGAAAAAAATCCCGGGATTCCGGAATCCATAAGAGAAAATTACCCGGATTCCGAATCCGGATTCCCTTTCACGAGGGGCCACTTCTGCCTGACGAAAATGCATTAAGGACCTAAAATATTAAGACAGAGGGTATTCGGCTTCTAGCTAGTCATACAATTGAAAGAAAGTTCATGCCGACTTAAGTGACGGTAGCCTGCGAAAACATCCGGAGGAACTGTTAATTTTCCTGTGTTTACTTTGGATGGGCACCCGTCGTGTTTAGGACTGGTAAACTTTACGGTAGAGCGGCCAAGGCAAATCTCTCTTAATCAGCTCAACGGGTAATACCAATTTCACTCCTGTTTTGATTCAAATTAGGGTATACTGTAATGAAACCGATGTAAAGGCGTGCGATAGTTCCCTGGCAAATTAAGCAGTTTGGGTACTGAAACTGCCTTGGAGCATAAAATAAACCGATTGTATTATCTGAATGGAATCTGGTTTTCATTTATTGACTCTACGTCATGATCTTTGGTTTGTTCCTTTTCAATATTAATGCGCTGTTTACAGGGGACAGAAAAGTCGAAGAATCCGTGAACGTTTTTGCTCTATCTTACCAATCAAGGTCAAGTTATATTTGGAAACACTACAAACTGATTAAATCACATTTGTAGCAACACGGAGACGTTAACGAAGGCGGGCTTCAGTCTTTTAACATGGTGCCTCGCTGACGAAGTAACCGAAATCTCATTGGACGTGCTGCAATTTTCAACTGCATTCAACTTAACATCCAGGATTTTATCTTGGCTTAATTTATAGGAAAATCTAAAAATATGGACAGTTTTACATTTTATCTTTTATCAGTTGTTCTTGTGCTAACTTTCTTTGTGGCCACGCCAGCGACAGGTAAGGAGCAATTATACCACTCGTTTGAAAATGTTAAGCTTGAATATTTCTCTCGACACAAATGCTACCCCTTTTATCTCAAGATATTTTTTATAGTAAGGAGTTAAGCAATAACTAATAATAAACATTAACCTCTTCTTCTTGAATAGTTCTTTAAATGCTAAGGTAATTTTCCGGTTTTTGGATAACAGGTTTTCGTTAATTAACTACCCAGGTTTGTGTAGGTTTAAGCACAAATTCTTGTTGGTAATTTTCTTTTCTAGCGCCCTTTTTAAACAAATATTATTTAAGTACACAGAACAGTAGAATGGTGTTCTTTTTGATAAAAACAAAGAGGTAATTGCCAACCATATCAATACCGTGATAGTGAAACGCTAATAATCTTTGATTTCTTTCAAACTCCTCTTTCTATTTCAGGAAGTGATTCCTTCTTTGGTCTTTATCGAGGTAACTAAGATTTTTTGTATCGTTACTGCAGTTAAATTCATATCCTCTCTTGAAAACTGTATTTACCGTAGTGTCAGCCACGTTTGGCGTAATTCAATTTTAAATGGACCTCTATGCTTAGCTTATTTCAGGCTCTCAGATTGTAAAGATGACGCGTGAAGTGTAAGACACGCGAAAATACAATCGCGCTGGAAAAAGGGGCGGTGTCCTTTCTTCAGTTTCCTTCCGTTTTATTTTCATTTTTGCGCTTTTTGTATTTTTGCGGACCCGACTATCTTGGAGCCTGGAACAGGCTACTATATACACCGCAGTCATTTTCGTCGCCAGAGTTGCGATCCTTTTGGCCAGCGCCAAGCGGAGAGCTCTGGCTGGCAGGAGGGCAGAAAGGTCCGTGCAAAACACGGAGTTCTGCCGGCTTTCCATGCCCATCTTCAGAGATCCGAAACAATGACGATTACCATAGATTACAATAAGGAAACCTTCTGCGCTTGCATGTTATCCTGGTCTCAGAAGGAGCTGCAGCTGCTCTTGATCCGTGGCGCTGACGACAAGGAACGCAGTTCTGGGGAGCGGAATGAATAGCATGCTTTCGCAGAGAAAACCTGGACCATTCAAAGTCCTATTTTTTCGTAAGATCTCCGAGATCAAGCTCCTACCTTTACCGGCGGCCATCTTGCGGCAACTGTTCTAAGGAGGCGGGCCCTCGCGTTTAATTAGATTTGGCGCGACTTGGTAAATTTACAGCCAAGATGGCCGCCCGTAAGGGTAGGTGCTGGACCCCGACGATCCTACGAAAAAAAATTGGTGACTGTGACGACTCTAGAGAAAACCTAACAGAGAATATGAAATCAAACTGATGGACAATTATAAATGGAATATCTTTAAATAACATTAGGAAGTGATGGAAATTTAAAAAAAGAAATGGAACTAGGCGTGTCTGGGTCTTCGCTGAGTAGATCGTTTGACATTATGTGGATACAAAATGACCTTTGTGAGTCAAACGAATCAACGCGTTTGCGAATAAAGCTTCGTAAGGTTCGGTAATACACGCATTTCTAGTCAGCAGCGTTAACACTTCGGAACAGCTCATGTAACTGTGCTTTGAATTCTGTCATCTGCAAATGACTAAAAATGATTATTTGTTTTTCCTGTAAGCATCACGCTCCGCCCCTCCTCTCGCAAAAAACCAAAACCCCGTTTGTAAAACAGCGCAGCTACTGCACAGTGACATAGTGCAGAATGCATCGCTTGAGGGTCAGCTGCATGCTGGGAATTTCACCTTTCTCGGCCCAGTAAAAAACATGGAGGAATGTATGTCATTATGCTGCGCGAGCAAGCGATGTCAGTTGGCGTACATGGATCAAGCAAAATGTTATGGTGTCAAGTGTTACAGCGAGGAATTGTGTAAAATAACGACGGGTTACACGCCGAGTGATGTCAAGATATCGCTGATGGTTAGGAACGATATCAACAGAAAAGGTATATACCTGTAATAATAATATTATTATTACTATAATCATAACTATAACAAAATTCTTAAATCTGATCGGCTATCAACTGCCCTGATTTCAGTCTTAATAGGACAGTTAAATAAGACAGTACGCGTCATGCCTAAGTAATTGGACAGTACGCGCCATCACGTGCGGGCTTAAATGGCTTTTTTTTTCACTGCTAGCAAAAAAAATCTCGGAATTTCTTGTCTTTTGTTTAAAAAAAGAGCCTCATATATCACAAATTTTGTTAAAGTTATGATTAATTGGTAACAGAACTTCGTGTCGTCCAATTCGGTCTCTTATCATACTCGTGATTAAACAAATCGGACTCCCGCGTTAATCACTCGTATGATTACAGACCAAATTGGACTCCACTCAGTCCTGTTACCATTACTAATAATTACTATTATTCTGTAATCATAATTGACTTGAAGAATTTTTCAAAGACGTTTTAATGATCGCTTGTGCCTATTGATCAATTAATAACCACAAGGGGATACTCTTGCAACCGATATGATATTAGGTGACAAAGAACTGGGCCTTCATAACAGCGTTGATTCTGCTCTGATGAGGGTCTGGCGATAACGTTGTCAGCTTTTGTCACTACCTTGCTGTACTATTTCACCTTTTTTACTTCGTGAACAGATTTAGCGGGTTTTTTCAGTGTTTCCCCCGGGGATCACTCAAATGTGAGGGGTAGGTTGTACACGATAAATGTTAATGTAAAAGAAGTTTGAGTAGAGGAGGGTAGACGTCCCTGTGTAAGAAAAAACCGTTCATTTTGCACACCTTATTTCATGACCCTGACTCATTTCGTTTCGGAATTAGCTTTGGTTGAAGAAGAAAAACCTTGTTGGTACCCCGCCCTTATGTAGATCGCTCATCGCCATATCCAAATACAAATTCTCCCTACTAATCTCCATACATTTCCTTAAAGAATTGGATAAGAGAATTTGTTTGCTGATCAAAGCTTTTCCCATCAGGTGATCATCTCATTAATTCTCACAACATTTTCTCTACATTATGTATTGACATTGTTACGAGAAAATTGACTTTGGTCACTGTTGGGACTTAAAGGGTAAACACTTCCTGTTCAAAAAAGACACTAAAATCCATACCCTGTTCAGCGGCACATACCCGTCCAAACCAGTAGTGCACCAACCCCCTCCCCTCCCACCCCCTCGGGTGTCTCATAATCTTATTTTCTCGACCAATCAGGAATAAATTCACCCATGTGTGACGTACTGGCATCAGCATCCAGTTTATGCTAATTCTTGGCTGCCAACACAGGTTTTCACGAAAGAATGCATTGAGTCATGATCACACTAAGCCTTAATATAGCACTATTTGCTTGTGTTTCTTCCTGTTACGTAGCTCAGTAGGCGCTGTTTGTATGTTTATTTTTCAGCGTATGTGACAGCATACATTGTGGTGGTGCTGGTAGCCTTTGGAGCTGCCGTGTCAGGAACAGTGTGGGCCGTTTTTATATTTGTTAGAAGGTACGCTGCAGCATAGAGTTGAACAATTCAGTTACCAACGCTGTGTTTTCATTTTTCAATCTCCAAGGCCGGAAACTAATAATTTTTAGTCAAACGCATATCGACCTGAGTCACCGAAAGACCGGGACGGGAGGGAGGAGGACTGTCTCGTTAGAGGCGGCGGAGCGTTTTGAAATGTGGGGGAAGGGGGTGATCATCGTCGACTCAGTCATACGCATACACCTATATAGATTTTCCAAAATGCCCTTTACGATGTTCGTTAGCACGATCAATTTTCACATTGTCTAGTGTGTCCGTAACCGATTGATGACAATCCATCAGCAGGCGGTTGTTCAGGCGGTCCTGCTTCATTGTGCTTCTTAGATAGTTCTTGAGCGTCGTCTAATGGCAGAAAATGTGCGCGCGCTCTGAAGTTGCCGATGTCACAGGTTTTGTCAAATACAACCGTAAAAGTGTTTTTCGGCATCAAAACGTGAGGGGGGTGGCTACAGACCCCTCTGCTCCCCGTGCTTCGCCGCCTATATGCTCAGTCAATTCTGATCGACTTGAATGGAACTAACAATTAGCAGTCAGTTAAATATAGTTCGATGTTAAAGTTGTTGTGAAATTGATCTCGAGTCCACCTCCTGAAAAATCACTATCAGCGGATAAGTATTAGGGGAACCAATTGCACTATCCACTGAATAGAGATTTATCCGGTGGATAGCGGTATTAAAGAATCGAGGCCAGATGGATAGGGTTTTCGGTGCATATTTTCATGCTTTTAATAAGAATGAGGATCTTTACAGACAACCCTCTCTTAACGGTAACTATACTCTCTATGAGACGGACTACGGAAATGCAGGCGCTCTACATGACAGTGAATTGCAAAATGTTTCATATCTTGTTGCTCCAGTTTGCAAAGTGCATTGTAATGCTTTGAGACCAAGAAGCCTTGAACGATTGCTTGTAATGAACGTTTGATAGATTGCACGATGAGAAAATGACTCCACTTTTCTTTTACAAAGTTCCAGGTTTAGCTGTTTTGTACACTGTTTTGTACAAGTTAAACAAACGTGCATTCACGGCGAATAGGTTCAGCTTTAAAATTACTCGTGCCACGTTACCTCGACTCTCTCAACCGCCACTCCAGTGCCGAGTTGTTCAAAGCTGGGTTTAGATAACTCCGGGTTAGTGCGAGATTTAAATTCAGATTTGACAGCTTAAAAATCATTTCAGTTTTTATTCTTTTGGTCTATAAGTTGATGATTGGAAGGTCTAAAAATGGCACAGAAAATTATACGAGAGAATGCTTTTGAACACAAGAGAAAGAAACCTGGGTTAAATTTAACCCCGGGTTAAGCGCTAATCGGCCTTCGAACAACTGGGCCCAGGGCTTTAACTCTCTATTAGCCGGAGACCCTCTAAGACGGACATTCAGGGCCGCTCTCGAAGGTTTCCGTCTTAGAGAGAGTTGACTGCTAAAGAAATGATGAAGCACAATGCCTCCTCCTCAGAGGCTTTCTTTTTTCGCACTTTGGTCGCATCGCGGACGCAATTGGCTTGTGATGAAGCGCGCGGGATCATGGGGTGGAGAAAGAAGACAGGCTAAGCGACATCTTGCCCGCTTCCTCCTTCCCACCGTCCTTTACGCGCAAAAAGGGATGTCTGTGAAGGGGGCAGATGAGCGCATATGAGGTCTCCAGTCCTCTGTTCGAAGACCTTACATAACTCATCTTCCAGTGAGGTGCTCTGTGTTATCAGTGCTTGGTCGTTCGTTATTACTGGTTTCTAAATCTTTACTCGAGTGGCAGAGAGGTTTGAAATATAACACTTTCTGGAAAGAAAGGTACATCTTCAACGGGAATATGAGGTCGCTTTCGTTAAGGGTGAGTTGGGAAAGGTCTTTTGACTTTAGAGATTGAACAAGCTTGGATTTTTCAGTAGCTGTAAATACTTTAATAGCAGTGAAAACAGCAAACGGCAAAATTTATACTAAGCAGTTATCTGTGCGAAAACTAAAGTTATATAAATTTCTTTCAGATATCGAGAAAATGGCGGGACGAAACCGAATGAAGGTGATGATGAAGATCCTAAGGCTGAGCCCAAGGTGGGTACTCGATCTCGTTAGAACAAACCCTGCAAGGCTTATAGAACTTATTCGCAAGAAACGCCGCACGCGCAATAGCTCAGATCGACCAAGTACAACTGGCTTAGTATTGCTCTCTCACTACCCTGCCCTTTGTGCGGTATCGATCCATTAATACAACTCCCCTCGCAAACCCTTGCAAAACTGTGAATAGCTCCACTCAATTTAAGCAATGCTGCATGGGCAGGAACTGGATGGGTGACCAGTCGCAAATATCCTGTCGTGAGGACTCCTATGTAAGGTAGCAAGCGATGAAGCAAACAAACAGAGCCACAAGCGACTAACAATTTTCCTCTTTTTTTGTTCCAACAGGTTTACTAGTTTAACTGACTGCGGAAAAATTTAGCGCAAGATAAAGAATCCACTCCATAAATGTCTTTATTCTGATGACAGTCAGCCAACGAGAAGTGAAGTCGACACTTTAAAAGCGTAGGGCAGAATAAATAAACGTGGACAGGCTTGCACGATGATAGCAACAAAAAAACACTTTCCCTTATGGATATTAGTGTTTTTCTTTCTGCATGCATGCAAATGTTTTCTTCACACTGAAGGCCTGTTTATGTGAAGTGAGCCGGCGCGGTTAGCAAGGCTGGCTGGCTTTACCGGGCTGGCACCGCTCATGCCTTGTTTACGTTTAGTAGGCGGGCTGGCCCGCTTGACGAGGATCGTGGTCGCTCGAGTTGAGATCTCCGCGAGTGCGCCAGCCCGTCTTCTTATATAAACACACAAAATGCTGTTATGAGGAAACCAGGCACAAGCCGAGCCAGACCGATAATGCGAGCCAGCCCGGCTAACCGGTCTAGCTCACTTCATATAAAAAGTGCCTTTTTGGATGCGTTTTTAAGTTTTCGAGGAAGTAAGGAATCGATTAAGCTGAGCCTGTGATCGCTTATTTAGTTTTCTGACAATATCAACATTGGAACCGTTTATTTGAGCGCGAAATAATTCAAAAGAGAGAGGCAAATGCAAATAGTTAACTGGTATATAAGAATTCTCAAATCTGAGGTCTCCCGCGTGAGACTGTCAGGGTCGGTGTATTGTCGAATTGCCTTATGGGACCATTTTTTGAGATTGCGCGGGAAACTGGGTTAAACTTAGAACCATGATGAAATTCGACAAGAAAACTATTCAGTCCCGCACGGCTATCTTTTCAAGAGATGGACAGTAAGCTCAAAAGATCAGTAATTTGCAGTTTATATTAAATTTGTTGACTGAAAGAAATCATAGGAAATAAACAATCTCTAGATTTTAGTGTCTTTCCCGGCACATAATGTCAGTGATAACCTATTAAGGTCATCACGAAACTCGCCCATTTTAGCTTACATAGTCTTTTTTGACATGTATAAGTGACAACTTCTCGAATTCTTTGAACGGGAAACATATTTATAACTACAACGATTGAGATTCATAATTCATACTGTATCTGACAAAGACTGTTAAATTAGTCGTCTCTGTAACTTCGTTTTATTTATATCTCAATGAAAGTAAAGAAAGTTTTAAATAATAAACTTGTCAAAGTTTTCGTGTTCGAGGCACTGATAATTTTCACTCATTTCTTGCTGTAAACCTTTTTCAATAGAGACCTTAACATCGAGGTTTGGTCATTTTACTGCAAACGGCAAACTAAAAAAAACGGTTTCACGTTATTCCTTAAGATTCGCGGGTGGTAGCTCTGCCCATATTCAGGCATATTTGGGACTTTTTGCTAGATTCCCGGGCTGGTCCAGATAAAATCTTCAACGAACTGCTTTCCTGAAAAATGTCATGTTTGTTTTTTCATTCATCCGCTTATTTCCCTATCCTACCCTTCACAGTGGCACATACCTATATAGCCCATTTTGCCTAGAATCTGTTTGTTTTCTTCAAAATGTCTTCAAAATTACTTTTTTTTCACACAAAATTCGATGATCAATGAGCAAAAGAGTTCTAAGAAGTCGTATTTCTTCTTCAAACGTCGGATTGTGGTGTTTTAGGATGCGAAAAACTTTGCGGTAAATCACTTACCTCTGCAGCGTGGTCTAGCCGTACAAACGTGAACCTCAAACCGCAAAACTGACGGCAAGAGCCTGGTCACGTGACGAAAAACCTCAATCTTAAGGTCTCTATTATAAATGTATGACTCACTCGAGACCTTAAATTGATCATGACCAGCGTACTACTAGGTACAAAATACCACGCATAATCTGGAAGGTCTGTTGCGATCCTAAGGCCCCAAATTCAATCCCTGCCCTGACAACTATCTGGATTCGTTCCCTGTACTTCCGTGTGTAACTCCTCGACCACGCTTGTAAATAGCCAACTGCTTTGCCTCAGGTCAGTGGAGATTCTTAACCATGTTATGCATGTTTATTTCAATTATTTGTGTCTGTTCTTCAGTATTTATGGGCCAGAATGTGAAGCTACTCAGGGTTACCACTGTGTAATTGTGCTACCCCTATACAAATTCTATTTTTTGACTGTTTGTCTTATGCTACAGTTTTGTTTATGAGTAAGCTTAGACAGACTTCAGATGGACCCAGTTTAAGCTTACTCTAGCCTGCGTGCAGACGAAATTAACCTCTGGTTAACTCCGTCTGCGAAACAGCGCCGAAATCCTTGTTCTGGACTTCCAGCTGTGTACCCAGATTTGAGTACGCGCCACGATTGGCCAGTTAAAAAAGGCCTTTGTTTTGTTTGTCGTGATCGCCAATCAGGTTGAAGGGGAATTCGAAACGCACTTCCGGTAATTCGTTGAGTCCGTTGGGGGTCCAGAACAAGGATCTCTGCGCTGCTTCGCAGACGGTACTAATCAGAGTTTAGTTATCGTCTGCACGCAGGCTAAGCTTACTCTTAGCTAACCTTGCATTAGTTCCTTTCCAGGCAATGAAAGGTGTGTTTTGTTCCATCAAGCATCGAAGTAAGCCCGCAACTCCATTAATGTATATAGCACAAAAAAACCACGTTACTGTTCATATTTGCAGATTTTTATTAAGAAATTGTATTTCACAACAACACCAGCATCGTAAATATATAGCTATTTCGAGAAAGGTTGTCGGAAAAAGTGCACGCGACAATCCCGAAAGGTATTGTGGGTAGTTTTGAGTTCTTTGTTCTTCAAAGAAATGTGAAAGAATAGCATGAGAGAAAATGGACGTATGCTTGCGAATGCTAAAGGAAAGCAACAATAGATAAGATTCAACAGCTACAGTGTTAGGAACAGTGTATTGATCATATCCCATATTACCTTTCAGGATTGTCGCGTGCACATTTTTTCCGACAACCTTTCTCGAAATAGCTGTATGTTGCTAGCCAATACTTAGCGCATATTTACTTGTTATTTCAGGAGAGAGATTTCTATAGCAATAAGCTTGGTTGGCAAGTTAACAAAATGCGCGAAATGAGTGTTCTTGATGCAAACACGTTTGATATCAGGTGCATCCATTCACATAAAGTTTGCGTGTTATGTAATCAAAGATACTATAAACGATAAATAGAAAAATAAAAATTAAATTATCTTAGGCTGTTCACAAAAAGCCAAGGTGAACCTGAAATGCTACGGGAAATTTAAGAGTTCTTCATGTATAAAGCATAACCAGCACGAAGCTGGAATCTTCTGAATGGGTGAAGAATATGTAATATTCGGGTTTGCTTACCTTTAAGACGCAAACAAGACCATAAGGCAAGGATGCAAGTGTTATAAGCACATGCGCTTAGAAAAGAAAATTTATGACGCAACCTCTACTCCTCTGACATTACCGAAGAGGAGAAGCTTTCACGAAATTACTCAGTTTCAAGCTCTTTTCTGCCTTTTTTCAGCTAATGCCAGCGTTTGTGCTAATGATAGTTTCGTAATTATACTAGCTTATATGGCGCTCATACTTGGCGCCGCAATGGTTAACATGTCGCCTTCTTCTTCTTGTCGAGTTTATGACCGAGTATGACCGAACAGTCATGTTGTAGTTTTAATTACATTCTAGTCCCAGAACAAACCCAGACAAGCACTAAGGATGTAATCGGTTCTGAACCAGAATAATTCATAAGCAACGGTCATTGTATATTAGCTAACAAAACAATAACTTTCCCTGGCTTGCTGCAGCACTTTCTCCTCAACTGCCCGCTTTGTGCGTAGTCTCGACTTTACCGACGACTATAAAATATGTCTCAGAGGTATAAAGTGGTCGAGAATTAGTTACAAAAGGCGAACGGAAGGTTAAGGTCGAGGGAATTTTCGGCCCTCTTATAAAATGGCCTCGTCGGAAAAAGGAGTCTTCCTCTGCGGTTTTCTACTAAAAACAAGACGGAAAATGAAATTAGAAAAAAGGTCTTGTACATATATTTGGAGGTGCGCTTATATGGGATGTATGTTTTTGTCGTTGTTTACATTTAAGTGCATGGCTGAGCCTATAACTTGGGGACCTTATAAGTTGGAGTGCCTATAAGCGACAGTTTACCGTATTTGAAATCCCCACCGCGGATTGGCTCAGTCGGTAGAGCCTTAGACTGCAAAGCGGGAGGTCGCGGGTTCGATTCCCGGGACCGGACCAATACTCAGTGTCTTAAAATAACTGAGAAATGAAGGTACTCCCTTTGCCCTGAAAACTCCAACAGCAAAGACCCCCTATCCGTTATTTCCTAAGTCTTAAATGTAAAGATGATTTTCGCAAGTATAGAACTGACGCAGCAATATTTGCGTCATATATACCCTGATCCCAGAGGTTTTTCTCGACGCGGCTCGCTCTCTTTCACGAGGAGAAAACTTTCAAGAAAAACTTCTGGGATCAGGGTTTGTCAATTGTTACTTTCAGCTTGTATCTCCTAATTCTGAGGCAAAAAAGCAAGCATTCACTGTCGTTAGGAAATGTTGGTCATTTGCAAATCCACAACCATCCTCTGTAAGTCAGACACCAGTATCGGTCTTTGGGGGTGGGAGTCGATGCATCTGATCGAGAATGACAAAGGGTCAAGGTGGATAAGAGGTCGAGAGAATTCATCAATATTTTACCTCAGGGCTATTCTGTGTCTTGTCTATGTCTTGACCGTAAGCGATGCCTTAAAAATGAGAAATAATAAAGTAAAACAGTAAAAATAAGATAACGAAGAAGAAAAGAAATCACACCTTTTCAAGTATTTTTACGTCAGTGTAGTCACCACATACCAAAGCTTATAGGAGCTCTGTCACGATATTTCGTGTCACTATTTGAAAAAGTGATGATCACAGAAAATTAGCACGGCCTACCTCCGAATGAACATACAAACTGCCCAGAGAATCCCTCCAGCTCCTGCCGCGAATCCCACAACGCCAATTATTACGTAGACTATCATGGAATCTAAAAAGATCGTCATTGTCAAAGTTACCTCAGGTGGGTAGCTAGGATATTTTAAGGTGAAGGGGTGCGGGGCGGGGGTGACTTATTGTAGTCATTTTTCATAGACATCAATGCTGTTTACAAAAAGAGTGAAAAATATTCAGATGAGCGGTGTGATGCCGAGATATCGTCATTCAAAGACAGTGGCTTTTAGCCACCTTTCTAGCATTTTCAGGAAATAAAAGGAAAAGGATGCCTCTCACAAGGGAGTGAGGAAGCACCCCAGGCCCCCACCCCCCTAGCCACGCCCCTGTAGCACTGGAATAGCGCAAAGCACCTCAAGCACACCGCACAGCTGTTTATGTTAAGTTGTGCAAAGTTAAAAAACGAACAGGAGTGTTTTATGATGTTTTTAACCAACAGACGAAGTCAGGTGTGTTATACTTGACAAATGCGAAAAGAACAAATGGATTTATAAAACTAGTTCCTATATGGCTTTTAAAAGACACTTATCAGAGCAACAGAAAGTTATTCATAAGACTCTCTATTCTGTTAAAGATTATCAAGCACGCATAACGTTGAATTTTTCTTACAATCGTAATTCTCTAGGTGGTTAAACATGTCTTATCATTGATTCTTTTAAATAAAGGACAAAGAAACACATCAAAACAACGACAAGCTTTGAAAAAATGTAGGTTACCAGGTATGGGGCAAGGCCTTTTCCGTATACTCACTTTTTTCGGAATGTCTTCCTGCAGTACTATTCATAATAGTGGAAATCTTGACGTCTCCATTTGAAGAGGGTACGTCACTTATTTTACACAAAGTTGGGGAGAAGCAGGAAACAGAGAAGCAGTTACTGTCCACCATGTAAGCTACATTACAACCTCGCTGAGCACAGCATCGATCCATACACATGTCCATGTCACTGGGGTAAACAAATAAAAGTGATTATTATTCACTCAAAATATTTCTCCGTTTCTGATTAGCTCAAATATCCCACGGATAATTCTTCAAGATAACAGGGCTCTTGACGTTTTTTTTGGAACCATTATTGTTTTGAAAAATTAGTTACGAGTTCCCTGAATCTTAAGATGATTTTTGTAACAGAAAAATGGACGCCAATCTATAAGCCCTGGAACGAGGTTGCGTTTTTTTGGTGGAGCAGTACGATATGGCGGTACATCTCACACGTTTCGCGCAGAAGAAACAGTCGAACTTCTGCCTGAAAACGTACCAAGAAAAGCAAGAATCCAAATCGACGGACGACATCTGCTATTTGGAGAATATCTGCATGCGCCGAACTAAATATCTCTTATCTTCTGAACTTGCCGAGAAAGAGGGAAATGAAGACCGGAACTTAACATCGACCGACAGGTAAGGTAGCATGTTTTAGCTTCCTGGTTTGAATATGATGGCCCTTGGGGAGCAAGGGTGGCGTAGTGGTGAGAGCGCTCGCTTCCCACCATGGTGGCCCGGGTTCAAATCCCGGCGTCGACGCCATATGTGGGTTGAGTTTGTTGTTTGTTCTCTCCCTTGTTCCGAGAGGTTTTTCTCCGGGTACTCCGGTTTTCCCCTCTCCTCAAAAACCAACATTTCCAAATTCCAATTCGACCAGGAATCAGGGAGACGAAGAACCACTATGTGGATGTGCTACCTGCAAATCGTTATTTATTTTATTTTTTCATTTGTTTGCCTCAAGAAGTAAATTGACTTTTTGCTGATCGCAAGTATATCAGAGCGACTCATGAAGCAAGCGATAAACAAAGGTGACACCAATGATAATTTTGTAGGATTTTCCTTCCTGACAAAAAATAATACCAAAAAATAACATAGCACAGCAGTGAAAAGAGCTCCGAAAGATAAACAGGTTTTGAGGCAAGTTACAAATGACCCATCTCGAAGCATTCTTGTGCTCACATGTCGCTCGGATTATTGGCCGAACACGAGAAACCATGGTGCGCTTAATCTTCCCAATGTTATGACTCAGAATGTATGAACTCTCTATAAGACGGACACCTTAAATGGGACCAATACTAACCGTGCGTCTTTGAGTCGAATAAAAGGAGTAAAGAAAGGCAGGAACAAACTCTAGGTGTCCGTTTTACAGAGGTGTTCGTTAAGAGAGGCTCGACTTTATTTGAACTGCGGATGAATACAATTATAAAAGTGGATGCGATCATTTTTTTTTTAAATCAGTATTCATCCAGGGGCATCCAATTTATAGCAGAGCTAGTTTAAATGGTGCCCTGACACAACACAAAAACAAAGACATTAAAACTAGAAAATTGATTAAGTTACACAGGCAACATGTACCGCAGGCGTTACTGTTTAATATGGCAATTTAGCTTGATTTTAAATTCGTTGAGCGTCTCTACTCGTCTCATAATTCTCGGTAGGGTGTTGTAGGTCCAAGCACCGTTTATTCTGAAGCTACCTTGGTATTTAGTAGTTTTTGCGAAGGGAGGGCGCAGCAAATCACGGCTTCTGGTGTTATAGCCAAGGAAAAGGTGCGCGTGCCTAAACTAATGTTATGTTGGAACATGCAGCTAGGAAATTCTTACTCGAGAGCGTAATATTTGACTGTTCCAAGAGCTGACGCAAGGGGCCGCGGGCCGATATAGTCTGAGGTATCTGAGGCGCACGCCTGGAGTGCAGTCGACTCTCTTTTAATGGACACTTAAAGTTGGTCCCTGCCTTTCTTTACTCCCTTTATTTGACTCTCTATAAAACGGACACCTAGAGTTGGTCCCTGCCTTTCTTTACTCCCTTTATTTCAATGTGACTCTCTATAAAACGGAGTACATCTCTCTAAGATGGATATATACTGCCGGCCTTAAAGATGCCCATCTGAGGGAGAGTTCACCGTATTGGGAAAAACTAATACCTCACAACTCCAACAAAAGTGAACTTTCCTGCTTCCAATCCTCCTACCAAAGTCTTGTTACTGATTACTGCTGAGCGAGATTTTTGATCTGCTCGGCAGGTCGGTGTTTGATCACTTGCAGAGAACATAGTCCCTAAAAGGGATTAGAATTTTAGTAAATAAGATAAAGAGGTGAGTAAAGTAATTCAGTGAAAGATGGATTTTAAAATATGAAAAGAATTTTCTTATCCCCCAAGCTTCTAGAATTTTCACTCCAAGCACCATTCTGGGCAAAAAAAGTTTATCGATTAAAATCACTTGGAAACGATCTAGGGAAGTTCAACGAAACTTGAAACATTTCCTCACCTATCCCGCAAAGAGAACAACGTTTTTTTTTTTTTAACAAAACCAAATTTATAAGTGGGTGAAGCATGATCGTCCGGGAGCGGCGTAATCCTGAATAGGACTGTTGTTGTTGACAGTGACTGACGTTTTGACAATCTGTGCGGTAGTCATCTTCAGAGTCAAAGTTGGTTGTATCACGTTGATGGTATTAACCACTGCTTTCATTTCAAAGAAATTTCGCTATTTTATTTTCATGAAAATTCAAATTGCTAGTAGCCTGAGAGGTCAATTTTCCAGGTGGCTTGAATACAGATTTCACAACAATGTCTTTCTGTTTATTTCTCCTGATATCGAGCCTATTCAGCAATTATACTGGGTACATAGAATGAAGATATGTGAACTGCGGAAATACAACATTTAAATGAAGATATGATCGTCACAGTAGTAATTGCCATTTAAGCAATTGCAAATTAAACGGAAAAAATTTCGGCACTTTAAGAGGATTCGAACCCATGGCCTCTTCATTTCAAATTTGAATTCCGCAGTTAACACCATCTTCATTCTGTTTCATTGCTCTCAAGGGTTAAGATGAACTCAACAAATTGGCCTGCTCCAAATGTATGGGTCTTTGTAGCTCAGTTGGTAGAGTACTGGAGCGCTAACGCAAAGGCCATGGGCTCGAATCCCGTCGAAGTCCCGAAATTTTTTCGGGTTAATTTGCAATTGCTAAAATTGCAATTACCACTGCGACGATCATACCGTAAAATTCCGAAAATAAGTTCCATAAAAAATATAAGCCCCCAAACCAGTAACGGTTAAGTCGCCCTCTAAATATAAGCCCTGTGTTGCCCTCAAATACAAAGTAAAACAAAGCCAAAACGGTAAATTTCCTTCCAACACAAGGCTAGCTCAATCGATTTTGAAACGCAAATTTCCCTCCGTAGATAAGCCCCTCCGAATATAAGCCCCTCCAAAAATAAGCCCCTCAAAAAGGGCCTTTGTAAAATATAAGCCCCGGGGCTTATTTTCGGAATTTTACGGTATCTTTATTTAAAATTGGAATAGGTGTTCATACCCTTGTCCTTATCATCGAAATATCCTCTGGTTATATAAGAAATCTTGGGTTCGAGACGTGATGGCTTTGCTAAAACAGCCTGGCACAATTTTTCATTCCGGCATTCCACTGAGTAACAGCTGTCACCAAACATGAACGCTAAGTCACACGATTTGTCATCGCAGCATTTTCCAATACAGTCTCGCATTGTTAGTGTTCCAGCCCTTTCTGTGAAGTTCCCTGAAATATTATTATAAACAATATTAACGATATCATAAAGAAATTATTTCTGGATACAGATACCGACGTTAACGTGATGCTTAGGGAACTACAACTGGCCTATACGTTTTGACGGGTAGACACCATCAGTTCGCCACTACATGGTTAATTTTCTGCCGTGGACAAGATGCTGGTAGGTCTGGTCATGTGGTGCTCAAATGGATATAACTGGACGTAGCTCACTAAAGTCGCCGGATTTCCACTGTCGCGAAATTCCTACGTGTGTACGCACGTAAATTTTACGCGCGTAAATAAAATATTTGCGCGCGACACTTCATACATTGCCTCTATTTTATTTACACGCGTAAAATTTACGCGCTTACACAAGTAAAAATAACGTGACAGTAGAAATCCACCTTTAAGGCGGACTGATTAGTACTGGTCTCAACCAGGGAAACGGTTACCAACACATTGAACTGTCAAAAATGGTATATAAAAGGGAAGGGGTTGGACCTCGGGGCGGAGCTTCCCCCAGTATAAAACTGCTGAGTATTCCCCCGGGGGGGTATGCGCTTACCTGCGTCAATGCCACCACGTAGTGTTACGTTGTATGTTATTGTGCTGTCGCGACATCTATCTTGATATATTTCATCATTTTGTACAGCTAGGTATAATAACAGATCATAGATTGATAAACTCAAACCCAGTTTATACTACTACATGAGAAATTGCTGCAATTTGATTGGCTTAGAGCAGTGATATTTCAACTTATTTTGAAATACCTACATGTGAAAATTACAAACCTCTTGCGGGTAATATAAACAAATAATAGCATGATTTGTACGTGATATTTGGCATAAATAACACTCGTGATATTTCAAAATTGTCTCAAATTTCAATCGGGAAATTACGCATAACAATTTTAAAATATCACTCGTGGTATTTACGCCAAATATCACTACAAATCATGCTATTACCTATACAAATGCTAAACAGATTAATCCTTGTCGGGATTCTAAAAGCCCCAAAGCCTTTGAGAGTCAAAGTGTTGATATGTATGGATCGTGCGTCCATAAAAGTGAGGACGTCGAGTGATTAAAAAGTTAGTTGCAGGTGTATAAACCACAGTACTATTTGACAAAAGCTTTATTTTAGATAGAAAGCCTACCCTGAAATGTCTACATCATCCAGAAATAAACCCTTGGTTATCAAACACATCACTTACCAAGAGAATTTGTTCTAAAACGAGATTTCTTCCTGAGGAACGAAATGGCTGGATTCAAATTCAATCGAGAGATACTTGATCCAAAAATAGGAACGGTTTTGCAAAGATCGGCGCTGTAACAGTGCACCGCAAAGCAGATGCTGCCTAACATGAAAGCCACATCACTGTTGGGTTGCCTACAGCTCATTTCTATACAGTCGTCCATGGATTCCACTTTACCAATCTTTTGGAATTCTCCAGAGTGAAGCCCCATCTTAAGCGTCACGTTGTACTCGATGGGTGAAGAATCGCATGAGTGGGCAACTTTAACAGAGGAATCAGCTGATTGAAAGAAAGAGACGCACCAGTCATGAAAGCATTATAACTTTACGGCACAATCAAAATTTTCGTGAAAATACTGATATCGGTATTCGCAGCATGTGTGTTTGATTGGCCCTAATGTTTTGCAAGAAACTAGTCAACGGAAACTGCACCATTTTTCCTCTCGATCATAAGCAAAACAAGTCAGAACTGCCCATGGCACAGATATAAACATTTCACGTGCCAGCAGGATGAAAAAAGATTGCAAAGAACGGTTATTTTTATTTTAGCCTGCTAGCAAGCTCTTCCGGAGGTATTTTGCCTACAGACAACTTTTCATTACTACTTTTAACTTTTGCCCCTTGTCTACGACATTTGGCTTACTAGTATAGTTCGATTTTTCTTAAATGTCAAGCTTGTTCCAACGTGTATCTAAATACAAGTACATGATTACAAATAAAAAAAATGCGTTCAACAGGAAAAGATAGTGGAGAAATGACTTCTCTGCATTATTACTCAAGTTATTTAGCAAAGTTCAAAACAGAGTACTAAATACCTGAATTCTCGACCAAAACAAAGTAGTGTCGAAAACGGAGAGAAGTTCGATAAGAGACGCAATTAGAACTGCGCCCAATTCAAAACTAAGAAAGATAGAAAAACCTACTTTGATGACCTTCAGGAATGGAGTGGGTGATGGTCGGTGAAGACGTTGCAGGAGTTGGAGATGATGACAGAAAGAGTGTTGGTGTCAGTGTTGACGATGATGTAGGAGCCGTGGATGAGGGAACATTAACGTTAGAATTCCCTAGTAAAAAAGAACAAAGATTCGCTAAATTCAATCAGAAAAGTATCAAACGTCTAGCGTCTACGTTGCTAAGTGGTATCCAAGCACGTGACAAAGTTCTTCAAAAGGGAATACCTCACCTTGTGGTTTTTTCCTTATGGCTATTCTCGGCAGATAATGGGTGGGTCTGGCTTTTCTTGGCTCACAAGCGCCATTCCTGTTACAAGCCACTGAATAGCAGTCATCCTCAATCATAAATGCCAGGTCACAGGTGTCTCGCTTGCAACAAAACTGCATACATATGTCCATGTTACTTGCTTTTCCGTTGTCAGTAAACGTGCCAGCGTTGATACCTCCAACCAAAGTATAATTGTGTAACACCTCCCCATCCCAGCAGACACTTTTCTGTTGCGAAGAAGCTGCAGAAGAGATATCCCAGAAAGAATTTATCCCCTGGGAATTCGTATTTTTGGAAGCACGAAATGGAAACTGGTTAGTGAAAACGTCTTGAGGTTTGTAAGAGCCTTGGCTTTGACTTAAACGTAACTTCAAGTACTTTGAAAATCGGTTTAAGTCTGTCGTACTCAGTGAAAGCAGATCGTTGTCCGTAGCGTCGTAGTAGCTAGCTAAAGCTTCTCCCTCTTCGTCATCTCTCCATTCTCTGTTATGTTTATTATTGTTTTCTCGACGCCATTCTTGAAGGAGTCTTTGCAGATCCTTGTCACGCAAGTTAACACGTGTAGCAGTGGGCGAAAAGCCACTCAAACGCTGGGAATCCCTTATTGGATAGGGAGTATTAGGGAACATTCTATGATCAATTTCGTGTGGTCTAAAGGGCAGGTTTAAGTTTTGAGGAGTTGGAACATAGAAACCTTGGAGATTGTTCAAGCTTTTGGATGGCAATGGCGTCATATACGACTTGTATCGACGTCCCTCGCCCTGATCTCCATTGAAGAGAAAAGGAAGAGCGTAAACATTCATACGGCCATCCAACATTTTTCCTACCAACTTCTCATAGCGCATAAGTGGCGTTGTTGGAGTAAAAATGTCAGTCGAGAAATTTTCGTCTATATTTCTACTGAGTGGCTGTTTATCGTTGACCTGCAGTTTCGTCTCAAGTCCCAAGTCATTTTTAAGGTTACTACCCTCGTCAGAGTGCACGGACACATCAGCCGTGTTAACGTCTTTGTTCTTATTCCTCAGTGTGGAGTCTGCCGTACTTTGTTTTTGTGGCTTTTCGGTCAGTGAGTTCAGTAAGCGGTCGATCATTTTAATGAGAGCCTTCAGTTTTGGTTGGTTTGGCGCTGTTGGTTTTTAAAATGTCTTGTCAGTATACCAAGCAAAAGCACAGCAAAATATAACAGTTCTTTTAAAGGAATGAAGGAGCAGTTTCTAGAGAACCTGTATGTTGCTTCGGCGATGGGGAATTGAAATTCAAAGATTCGGTTTTAACTACTCTGTTGATAAGGTAAGGTAAGGCAAGGTCAAATTCATACTGATCCTTTCCTTCAGCAGGGAGAGAGGGAGTCCATTAAACAGTTTGGTACGAGTAGGTACAAACTTGTGATGTTTGCACGACAACGAAAGAGATGTTGACACAAATTTTGGCTTAAACTTAATACGTAAGCTAAACTTTCTTGCAGTAGATGCATTCTTTAAAATTATACGTTTCGTCATTCCCGATTATGTTTCAAAGAGTCTTCTATCTTCAGTGGTTCAAAAGGCCTGCTATAGTAACAAAACGATACCTGCGCGCTTACCTTCGTCTTTCTTCCTGTCGTGGTAGACATAAACAATTTTGGGGTTATATCTCGCGGGATTTCTGGCTGGGCGCGTTTCACACAACGATTCATTTATACATTTGACTCCATAACATTCGCCCTCCAGCATAAATGCAACATCGCATGCGTCCTTGAAACAGCACCGCTGACTGCATATGGTCATGTTTTCCGCGTCTCCGAGATCGGTAAATTTTCCAGCGTTTATTCCTCCCACCAAAGTGACGTCATTATGAACTATACTCGTGCGACACTGGCTGAAATCTGACAGTGCCCCCTTTGAAGCATTGGCTGAAAATAAATAAGCGGTAAGGAAACAGGTCACACGTTTACAGGTTTGTGGTACACCAATCGGCTAGACAGCTGATCCCGGTTCCATACGCATGTCGAGAGCTGTTTTGGCAGTTCCCAGCCAACAGCTACCACATTTATACGGTGGAGCTGGCGCAGGGTCAGAGATCGCAACGGCAACCCTTCGCCGTAGCAAATGAGGACGAAACAGCTGTCCACGGCTGTCACTGCCCGGGTGATATGGCCGTGCGCATGCGTAAGGTACTGGCCATACCTTACAAGCTTGAAAGTCTTTGGCAAGAAAGTCCTAACTTAAGACAACAAGGCACTTAAACAGGAAAACCGGCAACGTACAGTACCATCAGCAATTGTCGCTGGCGGTTTTATTTAAGCGTGGCCACATCACCACAAAAAAAAAAAACATGATGAGCCACTGTAATTTTAAATGTAACGTTAAAGTGTATGCTACTGGCCGTTACGCTACGTTCGGCGCCCAAAGTAAGATGTTTGCTACGAGTGATAATACTCTTAAATCTAATGTCACTGAAGTTTTGAAACGAAAGTGCTGCTGTACTAAGCAACACCTGAGGCCATCTGTGTCTTTAAAGTCAAGAATGCCCTTGGTAATGGGATCATGCATAACGTAGTTTGGTTGTCTACTTACCAATGAAAATTTCCTTTGTGTGTTTTACGAAAGCAATTTGCGGTTTGTAAAACGGTGAATACGCTGGCTTTGTTAGACACAGCGCATCGTCATAACACGACACAGCGAAGCACTGCTTTCCGAGCATAAACGCCAGACTACAGGTTTCCATTTTACCGCAGGCTTTTATGCAGTCAGACATATTTCCAACTTTCCCTTTGTCGCTAAACTTTCCTGCCTTGATACCAAACTTAAGTGTTACGTTGTACAGAATGTCGCCGGATGTATAGGTATTTCTGAGTGGTACACCATCTTGTAGTGTGAGATAGTTTTCTTGAATGCGCGTCGTTGGTGAAGCGGAAGTGGCCTGTGAACTATATCCCGTGGTGGGCGTAAAATCGTTGGAGCTAGTACTAGATGAAATCTCTGTAAAAGCAATGCTGGATGTTGAAATCCCCGTGGTAGGAAGCGAAGGCGTAGTTTCCAAGTTATCTGAAAAAAAAATAGACACCTTTGCATTTCTACCTGTTTTTAAGGCGTGTAAATTTGCGGGAGCGGACGAGATCTTTTTACTGTGTTTTTATTGTTTACTTATTTTACCAAAGGAAGCGTGAAACGTTTTCTTGGACACTTCCTCAACAGGTTACTGAAATTGACGAGAGCTTCCTAAGCCTACGTCCGCACGAATCCAGATATTTTTAAAACCACACACTTTTTTACACGAGCAGGGGCGTAGCCAGCCTATAAACCTGTAGGCCCTGGCCTACAAATTTTTGGTTTGATCACTCTACCTCTTGTTATAAATTATGCTTTTGGAGGGTGAACTAAAAAGCATAGGAGGACAAAGTGTTGGTGAGGACCGTGCAGGCCTACAACTAGTCGAAAAGCTGGCTACGCCCCTGACGACTCGGCCTCCCGTCCACACGAAACTAGTGAATCCGCTCACAACGAAACCGTCCTCCTGAGCCGGCGGTTTAAAGTCCCGTGCCAACGAATCACGGATGAAACAAAAACTAAAACACTGTCCACTGTTTTGGTATATACTAAATAATGATATCACCTCCTTGTCCAAAAGAAAAACTTTCAATATATACAGCAAAAAAGGTAGATAGTGAGCGGAAAAATATTTTGCCCTTCATACGTTCTTGTCGCAAAAACAGGGACTTTAAGATCCCACGACGCGACGGCAACGAGAACGTTGTTTAAAAAGTGAATTTGCGTTCTTTCTATCCAAGTTCAGGATGGGAAATAAATTCGGTCGTTGCTTGTTTACGTCGTAGTCGTGCAAAAACGGCAAAGAAATGTACAAAAAAGTGTGATGAACGTTCGAAGTTGTTGTTTTGCAATTAAACCTGCTGTTTTTTAGACGTTCTTGTTGCCGTCGTGTCGTTGGATCTTAAAGTCCCAAGGACAAAGAAAGGAGGTGTTTACATGAGAAAACTCGCATTGGTGCGAGTTTCATACCGGAATGACTTCTTGATTTCGTATCGGCTTTACATGATGACTGGGTCATTTCATATCGCGTTTACATGAAAATTCACTTAATGTTGATCAAATACACGTGCGAGTCAATTACGCATACGCCATTACACCAAAAAGAGTGGCCGTTTCGCGTTAACATGACACCGTTGCGAAATTTTGTATCGGAGTGAAATTCTCGCTCTGGTACAACAACCGGGGTGAACTCACCCCAGTGTGACTCGTACCGGCATATTAACATTTTGTGGTGGTATCATGCGAACAAATACAGAGCCACGAGAGGGAACCGGAGTGAACTTGCACTGGCGCAAAAGTCACCCCGGTGTCATCTAAACACCCCCTTTAAACGTTGTTGCGAATCATTACTTTAAGGATGAACTGATTGGTGCAACAGTATGAACATCTTTAGCACAAGTGTACAATCAACGCCTTTTACCTATCAGCCTGTATACACTGTTAGCATAGGATCCTCCCAATCCATCATGGCATCTTCTTGACATTCCAAATTTCCGATAATGAATTTCCGCAAGTGGTCCACTAAAGCACATCCCTCCACGCTGAACGGCAAAGACGGTGTAGCCTCGTTTGCGTGCCACTCGTCCGCACTTTTGTAGTGGATCGATTCGAGTTTGATAAAAGTCATTCAATCGGGGATCAGAGTGTTCCAGAAGTGTAAGAGCATGACTCCCGGAGTCATTCCAACAACCAAGAGAAACGTAGGAACCTGACGAAAAACAAACTGGGACTTTAGGTAAGATCTAGACTACGAGTAGTCCCCCATTTTTCCTCAAGGATAGTAGAGCGAGCGAAACGCGAGCGGGCGTGGTCTAGGTAAGATCAAGCCAACTTTAACACTTAATTTTCACTTAGGGCAAAATGTTGGCTTAGGGGAGGGGTAGGTGGGCAGTTTCCCAGAAACTTATAATGATCCGCGACTCGGTGGCAGCGTGACGGAACGGTTAGAACGCTGGACTTTTAATCTGGAGACCCCGGGTTGGTTCTCGGTAGTCCTGAGTTCAAATCCTCGGCCACGCTTGCAAATAGCCAACTGGTTCGCCTCCTACCAGTTGGGATTCTTAACCATATCATGTTTGAATTATTGGTTCATTAACCCGGAAAAGGGGAGAGGATATATGAGCATTCATCTATTTATTTTTTTATTTATTTAAGTATAAGCCGGGCACAAAGTGACCCAAAAAGGACGGAGCTTGCTTATGTACCATAGAAAACTTAAGAGAGTTGTACTCTTGGTCGGAAACTTTAGACCATCAGAGGGTCAAACCCAGTAACAGTTTGCCGTTATCCATTCAAGTTCTCAAGTTGGGTAGCCGGTGAACAAGTTCTCTATTTGGGATGTATCTCAAAAAGTCACCCGCGACTGGCATTCGAAAGAAGACTCGAGAGCAAGGACCACTGGTTGGGCGCCACGCGCGGTCACCACGTTTTCTCGTCCGTTCTTCGTGGCTCGCTTCGCTCGTCGCTAGAAACAAATGGGGAGATTTCGCGCAGGCTAAATATTGGATGAGAGACTCATCGTTGACGGGGACCTAAAATACTCGTGGATGGGACGCTGGCTTCACAGCAGGGGCAGAATCAGCATCACATCACTGGTACTGACTGCTCATTTTAAGTTACAGAGAGACAAAGTGAACTCATTCTTAATGATCAATATGACACGCACCAGAATCTGTGAGGCGGTAGACATCGTTGACGAACGGTCCTCCTTTGCCCTCCTTACAGGCTGAAGATTCACCGTACTGGTTAAACATATGTTCCGCCGCCGGATCACCTAGGCAAGCTCCGCCATTCTGTATCGCAAAAACTGGAAACAAAAAGGAGAGCCTTTGCTGATATCATTGTTTGCTGATATCATTGTAAAAGCGTTACAAACTAAAGTTAGAAATCATCGTGATCATGAAATGCCAGTCTGAAAATTTAAATATTATTTCGTACGAGATAGGAATCATGACAGTCCTATTACGGGTAAGAGATGAAGGGATCGCGTTTCGAGGGGAATGCGCGACTTTTGGAAAACGAGTGCGATGGCAGCAAGTCTGCTTTCATGGAACATGCTCAACATGCTTGAGCAGCAATGCTCCTTCCTCCTCCCTCAAAAACACACGTGCAAACAATTATAGAAAAAGTAAATTATTTCTTGGTGCCAAGTCTTTCATGCGCAACCTCAATCTCCACAGTCCCTTGCTTGTACCAGACCCAATAGTTTTAGCTTCACCATTTGATGCAGGGCTGGTTGTTAAGAAGCTGTTGCCCAGCTTTTTATTTATTATTCAATCATGATGTTTATCTTAACACAATACTTTGAAATATCGCGAACGCATTATCAAAGAGCACTGAACTTTTTCTTCCGTAGCTATGATACGAGGCAATATTCTGTAACCTAGCTAACTATCTAATCATCAAATGACAACAACGTTCATTATCAATTGTCCATACTCAATAGTTCCTCCTGTTAGACCGATAATTTGCTGATTCGGCTGTTAAGGTTTGGTTTTAATTTACTGGAAAGAGTGATAAGCTCCAAACCAATACCCCAAACTAGAGAGCAAGGAGCTATCCTTTGCATCTTTAATGTCCTCTCACCGTTAAAAATTCCGGCATGATTGCACCTTCCAGGTTCAAAACGCACGCCGGCATCGTTCCTCAGATAATTCAGGCCCGCAAGATTTACGCACTGTAAACTCACGGTTGCAACGCACTCAAGCCGTTGATATATTAACATGTTGATTACCCTTATTTGAATTGCGTTATGTGGTGGTTTATACCTTTGTACTCATGTTTCCGAGCCACTTGAGCGCACGTATCGATGGGTTTATCTCGTTTAAGGTAGGATCCTTGCAAAAGAGAATCTGAACCCTCCAATGAAGAAACTGAAGATGATTCGGTATCTTTCCAGCAGCCGAGAGACGCGTACCAGCGGTTTGCTAAAATGAAATAACGGGACAAACCATTGGTAAATTGTAGCAATAAGATTTAAAATCACGTGGTTTGGGTATTGTTTGTGGTCTTTTCAGTTTTGTATCATGTCATTTGCATGACGATTGGACCTGTGCGTGATTCTTAATCAAAAAACTTTGTTGCGTTAAGTGCGTGAATTGCGTGGCCATGCTTCGTAAACTAATTTGGACGGCCCTGTAAATCAGGGAAGCATGCAAGATCACATTTAGTTCTATAAGAAGGCCTGTGCTGTTGACGGGTAAATTGTAAATTGGTAAACGGGTAAATTGATTGCGCCTTAAAGGTACTATGCTACGTGATGATATTGCTGCTTTAGGTCAATTCTGTGCTCAAGTCAATACTTTAAGTGCCATTACCCATACACAAAATGCTCCTGTAGAGCTATGAAGTAGTTATCACACGAATTTCACCAGGGAACACTAACCATCATAATTTTTTGAGCGAGTTTGCGGGAATAGCATAAAAACCTGAAAAAGTTGGGTTTCAATCCATATCCATCCTTGCCATCCGTTGCAACAGACGACATAAAACATTTTCAAAGCAAAAAAATTGTTCTAAATAACAAAACTGGACCATTTTCTTTGAAATCAAATGATGCAAAACAAAATGTTTAGTTTTTCAAAAAGATAGCAAATAGCGTGACTGAGAGGACTCAGTGTTCTCCTTTTTTCCCCTATACGCCTTATGTCAGAGGAAATTGTGTCGCTGCTCGTCGGTACAGATAAGCCAGACATATCCTTGAAAAAACGTACCTGGGATTTCGTCGTCAGGAGGACTCCAATTTACATACGCCATTCGCGGGCGATAATACTCAGACAAGGCTGGCTTCATCTTACATGAATCATAGTCTTTACATGCCACAAGGAAGCAATTGTCTCGAATGAGGAACGCCACATTACATTGCTCATCTGCGCAGCAAAAAGCGGAACATTCCTCCATGTTCTTGACCACGCCCTTATCGGTGAAATTTCCCGCCTTGATACCCCCTCGTAGCGTCACGTTATGTATGGTGTTGCTGACAGTCAACTTGGAGCATGCGTCAAGGCTGGGCTTTTCGGCGCCTGGTAAGGGGTCTGCATAAAAGTGAATAAGCAGGAGGTGAATAGTAATCGACTAGTAATCAACTAGTTATCGACCAGTAACTGAATAGAAATCACGCGACAATTTTTACTTGTGACTCGAAATGAGAGGTTAAAATTTACAGCCCTAAAGAGGACAGAAGCTTTCCTTAAACGATTCCCAGTAACAGATATATATAAAAGGAGTGATTTTAAAGAAAGCGGCTAGCAAAACAACAGTCGAACCTAAATAGCAAAACATCTAGAAGAATCCCAAGTTTTATAGCACAATTCTCTTAAATATAATAACGCGCAAAAATTAATAATACGCACGCCATTTTTTCAAGCTGTATTTGGGACTGTTGCAAATCGTTACTTACCACCAATCGGTCTTCCACCTCCGCGGTATACGTACGCCACTGTGGGGTTGTAAGAGGAAGGTTTTGCTCTCTTGATCTGGCAGCCTTCGGTATCAGCGCACTCCACTGCGTAGCAATTTCCCTGAATCATGAAAGACACGTCACACGTGTCGTCGTGACAACAATGACGTATGCACTCGTCCATGTTGCGCGCGCTGCCATAAGTACTGAATTTTCCCGCGTTTATACCCGCAACCAGTGTGACGTTGTAGCTCACCGCCGTGTGGTGGCAGTCCGGTTCAGCGCTGGGTGGAGAGGCTGTTAATGTATTATCATTTGCTACAATTGGCTTGCTGTAGGCGCTTCCGCTGGCGGAGAGGTCAAAAATGGTAGATCCTGCTGCACTTTGTGTTCCTGAAGCTTTGCTGTAGGCGCTCCCATCGGCGGAAACCTCTGGAGTCGAAGATGTCCCCGAACTTTGTGTTCCTGTTTTACTGTATGCACTTCCGTCTGCCGAAAGCTCTAGAGGTGATGGCGTTGTTGTGCTTTGGGCAGCAGCTTTACTGTAAGCGCTTTCGTCTACGGAAAGACCTTGTGAAAGGGAACAAGAGGAAGAATTAATAACCCAAGCAGTTAATAAATTAAGGTCTCGACGTACAGAATAATTGCGTTTGTATACCATGGGAAAACAACAACAAGAAAACAAAAAACTCCAACTTATTCCCTCAACATTTAATGACTGCGCAAATAATTATTGTCTTTGATAGAACAGCTAATTCAAGACACAACTATCGATACTAGAGAATGTTATATTCAAGGCTGGAGAATGATGCGAGTGTGGTGCATCGTCAATAAACACAAATATCAACTCAATCGTGTTAAAAGATTTACACGATTGTGTACCAGTAAATTGCTTCTATCACTAAATGGTATAGTGTGCATTTTAAAGGGCAACAACATCACTTTTAGCAATAAGAGACAAAAGTAATTGACACATTTGTCTAAAACGCGCGCTTTAACCAACAATTTTTCAAATCATATAATTCTGTTAAAACGCCTTAAATACCCCCCTCCCCCGAATCAATTTTGTTTTTAGTTGAAGAAAGACTTGTGTGTTTAAAATACAACATTGGTTTGGGGGGAAGGGGGTAGGGGTACAGAGGGGGAGGGAGATAGGTATGCCTACTTCGCAATAAAGGTTCATTACATGCCAGTGTCTTAACAACTTTTGTCCCTCATTGTACTCAACGACTCTACTCACCAGGTTCTGGAGTCACCGCTGACAAATGAGATACAAAACTAATCCTGGGATTCATACTTGACGGCCTCGCCTTCTTGGTCTTACAAAGCAACTGATTGGCGCATTTGACCAGATAGCAAGTATCCCTGATCATGAAGGCAAGGTCACAGAATTCTCTTAAACAACAGTGCCTCGTGCATAGGTCCAGGTCGTGCACGTGCCTGGCCTCAGAAAAAATCCCGGATTTGATACCTCCTACCAGGGTCACGTTATACTCGGGCTTTGTAACAGCGCATCGCTGTGTGCCATCAAAGGGTGTTGGTGGCCTCTCGGTCTTTTTCGTTTGGCGAAATGATGCTGAGAAAAGATAAAAGATCGTTAGCCCATTTCAAAGCGAAATGACGGTTTAACCAGTTACAAAGATGGAATTAAACCTTCAAAACAAATGAGTCTTATTGGGAAGTGAACGACTAAGTTATCACGGTAGCCGGTCAGCCTGCAAGTTCGTATCATATTCTTAAGATGCTGAGCAGCTGAATGTAAATACACTGTTTATCCTCTATACGCCCCCTCCAACAACAACATGCCTCTCAGCCCCACCGAGGGTTTAGACCGAGCACGAAAGAGACAGCCCTTAGCCGGCACCTTCCTAAGTCCATATAACCTCATTTTCAATCACCCTTTTTTTTATCACTGTGTTACCGTTAATCATTTACTGTAAAGGGTTTAGTAGTTTTTTATTACCTATGTCGTAATGAAGAAGAAAGCCTTTTCCTTCCGCCCCTTCCGTACTGGTAAACTGAAGCCACAAGTGATTTCCAGTTGAAGTCAGCTCTGGAGGACGCCTATTCCCACAGTAAACTCCAAGCACGTTTGCATTTTCACTGTTCCCGTCTCTGACAACTAGCTTAGCCTTGCTACAGGTGTTATCCTCCTCCAAAGCGAAGGTGTTGAAACGAAGCGCAATTTTCTCGCTGGAATCAACGACAACATGCCACGTACAAAGGGATTTCCCTTTGTAGTGGTGAGGCCATTCTGGTGACTCGATCACCCCTGTCGGACTGTAGAAGAAACCGCCACATGCTTAAAAGAAGAAAACATCAAGTTAAGTAGGAGGAAAAGGGAAGAAAAGTAAAGCAAAAATACACAGATAAAATACGGAGCAAGAAAAGAGGAGAGATGAAGATCATGGCCTTATCAAGACCGTCGTGATCATCACCATCATCATTAGTATCAACATTATTAAGCACAATGAAGGAGATGATGAAACAGACTAAACTGGAGAAGAACAGCCACGTGGTATTCGAACTAACATTTTACTGAGTAAGATGCTTTCCAGAAAATTACAAATGAGAAATTTCCATAAGTAGTGAGGCAAAAGCTCGACGATCTGTAAAATGCTGCGTGAGAATGCAGCGATTCTGATCTCATAATCATTTTTGGAAAAGTAATGTGTCCAAGAAGGATTTACATAAAAGGGAGGACTGCATTCAGAGGTGTTATTAGAGAAGTAATCTGTTTTTTAGTTGTTGTTGTCTTATTTTGTAAAATGTGTTCGTTCAGTACAATTTTCCACAGGTCACGTTTTGATTCAGAGTTACAAGAAAACTGAAAAAAAAAATGGTTACATTTTATCTAGGAATATATTTGGATGGGCACCCGGCTTTTCGGACAAAATCACGTACCTCTTTCAAAACTGCACATCTTTGGAAGATTCTGAATTTCCTTTTGGTATTATTAGAGAAGTAATCTATTTTTTTGTTGTTTTATTTTGTAAAATGTCGTCGTTCAAAACAATTTTCAGTAGGTTAAGTCACGTTTTGATTCAGAGTGACAAGAAAACTGAAAAATCACTTACCTCTTTCAAAACTGCACATCTTTGTAAGATTCTGAATTTCCTCTTGCGTCAAAGCCTTATTATAAATCCTGAACTCGTCCACATCCCCCTGGAGAAATCTAGAACCTTTGTGCTTCCCTATTCCTGCATGCGCATCCCAATCCTGAGACAGAACACCCTTCCCAGCAGTCTCTGCCTTCAGTCGACCGTTTACGAAAACTTTAGCTATGCCAGTAAGTGCATCGTACGTTCCAGCCACATGATTCCATACTTTTGCTGGGATTATTGGATCTGCAGGAAAGAAAAATTAGAAAAATTGAAAGCGACTCCTCAATGATCAAATACCAGCCGTCAGGTTAGCCTATCAAAGAAGGGACCTTGTTAAATATTTACAGTGGTTTCACGTTTGTTTTAAACAAGAGAAAATGAGATAATCTCACCTTATCCCCTTATCGAAAGCCGAAAACGTTTTTAGCCTAACAAGCTAAGGATTTGAATTTCTGGAGATAACGGAGAAGCTCAAATCCGTTTCTATTTGAATTTGTCCAGTGAAACACGAGCGACACGTAAAATGTGAGAAGTCTTTCGCCTGATTTGCGACCCCGCGAAAACGGTATTTATCAAGTCTTAACGGACATACATCAGTACGTTAACGAGTAAGGAGGGCGATGGATGTAACATACTTGTGTTGTGTTGAACACCTTTGTTTCGACACCAAGTAGAGGCGAGGTACAAAACGATAATCACAACGAGAAAGACCTCTCTCGTAGTTTCAAGCAACTCTGTTTTAAGACGTGGCAGAAAAGGCGTCTAGACGTCTGTGAAACACTATCAAAGCACTTCATAGCAATACTCTACCAGCCTAATATTCCTTTTTCAAACAAGTTCCTTCCTACTAAGCCTACCTGTCTCAACACTGAAGATCGTGTTGTCTGATTCGTTTCTATGGAACCACCGAACACTACCATCTTGTATTTCAAAATGATACTGTCCCTTTTGATGGAGAGAGTGGCCACCAACTGTGTCGAATATTGAGTGAAGTCCTTTGTTGGTATCAAGCTTGATCCACGCTGCAATGCTTATGGCCTGGCGTGGTTTTACCTGAAGAGTAAGGCGAAGTATAAAAACACAACACTAAAACATACTTTCCAATAGCTCCGTTTACGGGAGAGATATTGCCTGTTTCACTCATGGTGGGAAGTTTAAAACAGAGAAAATCCTACGAGAAGGTAGGGAAAAATTTTTGCACTTCGAATTTGGCAGCTAATAAATTTAATAGACCATTATTTACTTAACACCCCAAAATATCCTACTTTGCTTCAATGTCGGATCAATATTTAGGTTTCTGAGAAACAGCCCACCTACCCCTCCCCTAACTCAACGTTAACATTTGCGTCTCACTTGGAGAAATGTCAATTTAACGAGCACGAAAATATTTTAAAAGTGAAGATACAGTTTTTATGTCTCCTACTGCGACAGTCAGCGTGTTTAAGTGGCCAGCGGGTCAGCTTGGCCCTCCGGCGACCCCAGACTTGACTCCCGGAGTAAAATGTATGGAAAATGACCCCCATATATCGACAGAGCTTTTGTACAAAAAAATTGCCCTTTCTACGACTGTAAAACGGTATAAACTGATATTTGGACAGACGAGATTTTGTTTACAACCAGCTTTCGGTCTCCTAATTATATTCGTTAACTCTCTTTGTCCCTTCGCTAAAACTCGAAGATGTATCCCATGTGAGGAGGGCAGGGATTTTAGTTGAAAAGCCACGTTGAGGATTTTACCACTCACGTTCAACCCTGTCTAGCAACTATCAGGTTGTTACAACTTGCGTGAATACTGACTTCTGATTATATAACATTACACGAGAGTCCGACCATACACGGGAGTTACGTCAATTGCTGCAAAACAAGTTTGCCTTAGCCTGGTTAAACGCAAACATGTGCAAAGTTTGCTGCAAAAAGGACTGTACTGCTCTCTGCTTTCTTAAAGAACTTTTCGCAATCTGCAAAAGAAATTTTTTGGAAGACAGGTTTGAACGTGGGTGCGCGCAACATCGCTTCTCAAATCATTTTGCGACAATGCTGCAAAACAAGTTGGACCATTTACCGTACCTTAAACGAAATGACCTGTATTCCTCCCCGAGAATTTTAAGTCTTTAGTATGTAAAGCGGTAAGAGAACATTCCAGAATCGAAACTCGCCATTTCACTTCTTTCAGACAGCTCAGTTGCAATTTGCCTAAAAGAAGTTTCTGCTTCAAATGGGGACTTTGTGGCTAAAAACCAAGGAAAGAGGAGATTAAATCATTCAAAGAAAAAAATAAAGTGCATTACCTTGATCTGTCTTCCGTTCAAGAGAATTTCGCTTCCATTGTTTATTCTCGCAACTTTTCCACATGATCCAAACGATCTCGAAATTTCGGTTCGCTTTCCTGCATCTGCAAGGTTTCCATAAAAAGAAGCAAATGGCGACTTTCCCTGTTCAACATCTTCAAAATTTAAGTACATAATTAGTCCTTGTGGTCCAAGTGATCCCTTTAGCAAGTCATTTGCTTGAGGCAGGTGACTTTTAATCTCCGGCATCCTCGTTCCTTGTTGAGAGCCATAAAACTGTGGCTTAACAGACCAGGGTTGCGTAACGCGCCCGATTTGCCGATTTCTATCCGGCAAAGCTATTTGTGAGTTGCTAAAATGAGGCGCAAAAACATAAAACGGGCGCTGTGTAACCTGTTTCCTGCTAACAACATTGTTGTTTAATGGGCGTTGAGGCTGCCTGGTTGCGTAATGATATTTCGCCAGCTGTTCAAACTGTGGCTGCTCAACACTGCTTATACGTTGAAACTTCCCAGGCCTGACTGATTTCATCGCTGAGTTTTTGGCGCCGTAGGGAAATACCGGAACTTGCCCATTTTGCGCCACTAGGGCGTTACTTTGTGCGAAATTCATGACAGGTAGGCGTTTCCTCTGAACATATTGGTCTGGCCTTAAAATAACTTTGTATGAATTCGGAACTACATACACAGATTGCCCGGGAGTTATTTGCCCATCGTATTTCACTTGAGGATTTACGGCTGCAGTAGTTGCTCCAAAACCATTGATACCTCTTCCAAAAGCTGATTTCCTCCACAGTAAACTTTGCGAGTAACCTTTTTTAAGTCCACTAATCTCAACATTGGGTACGTTTTGCCTCGGAAGGCTTCGCCGTTTAACTTGCCTTTGCGAGGCTTTCTCTCGCCTCTTCCTTTTGCGTTTTTTACGGTTGCGCGGCAGTTCTTCTTGCCCATCTTCAAGAAGAGCTTTACGTTTAAATCTTAACAAAACTCTTTCATTACCAGCGCCACGAAATTGTGGATAAATTCCTAAAGGATATACAGACCTTTTATTCCTGATTCTTTCGCTTTCCTTTGTTTTTACTTTATTAAAATCCACCAACTTCCGTCCAGAAATTCTGCGATGACTCCTTTTGCGCCGGTGATGTTTGGCAGAGTTTATCCACGAAATATATTTTCTTCGCTTCTTTTTACGAGATTTATTGAATGTTTTTGTCACGTCGTTAACATGCTTACTTTTGAAGTCATGATCATTTGAAAGTGAACTTGACTTCTCAGACAAAAGTTTCACTTCACTTTGTAGTTTGTTCTTTGAACGTCTCTTCGATTTTGAAGGCGTGGAGGTATCTTCAGCGTTCCTAACTTTTGTGATAGCAATCAATGAGTTACTTTGAAGACTTGTTGTAGAATTTCGAGGCTGCGAGAGATTTAATACATCTGTGTCGATTTTAGAAGAATGTCTTTTATTGTCCCAATAAGAGATATCAAGCGAAGAGAATTGAGATGAAGGGGGCCTTTGTGATTCCAAAACTTGTTCATTTCCTTTAACTACCGTCGATGAGTTCGTTTCCCCAAAATCGCCATCAGTAAAAGAATGCTTAGTCTCTTGCCTTTCCACATTACTGTCCGAGTGACTTCTGGAGATTTCTTGGCCATTATGTCCAGAAATTTTATGAGGTACCGAAAAGGAAGCTGATTGGTTGAAAATTACTTGCGGAGAACCTGAAAGAAATGGCAAAAAATCAATTTTTTCTTTCGTGTCAAATGTATTTCTTTTTTTTGCGTTTTCAAATGGCCAAAAACGTTTAGACAATCAGTGGGGACATGAACAGGGGACACGAATTCCATCACTCTTTGCGACCCTTTTCCCCCGCCTCTACAACTTAGATGAAGCATGTGGTGTTCTGTCGCAAAGTCTGCCCCTGCAACAAATAGAAAGAAACTCTGAAAAACGCGCGTTTTTCATTTTTAGATCTCAGACGCTTGGGCTGTAACCTGAAATGTCTTACACCAAGCAGACTTGGCCCGTTACGTGCCACTTAAGAATGCCAAAAATGGCGCCTTTCCCCTTCTCTTGTCTCTAATTTATACCCCCTTTCATGAGCTAGTGTTTCCCGATCCGTCCTTTTAAGGAAATGAATCATGTTTGCAAACGAGATTAATTTTAAGACACGCAGATATTTCTTTACTCCCGAAAGTGCCCATCGGTGGGTTTTCTTGGTGAAAAGTACTTGGTGAAATAATTTCTTTGAATGACCAACAACTGAACAGGGCGAGGTTGATAAAGATTATTACATATTTTTTATTCTCTGTTCAGAGCCGGCCTAAACTTTCGAGAAGGGCTTGACATACGGTTGACTCGGAGTCAATCATTTGTTTGGTCTAATGTTATTAAAGCTTCCCTTTTGAATTATTTATACAATTCCCTAGTGTTTTTCCCCATTAGTTTAGGTTCACTCAGCTACACTCGAGCAAATTATTATTAACAGCAGGACAATTGAATCAAACCACAAGGGGAATTAAACAAACAAATATCGTTATCACGGAAGTAAAATCGAAAACCTGTGATTTCGATACACTGAAGTTAAGGTCGAATGAGCAACTCTTTACGCAACATTTATATATAATTACTTTAATCAACGGTTGAAGTAGAGCTTTCTTACGCTCAACGATCTCCAACCACACATAACTCTCGCAATTATTGTTTGCAGAAAACAATATCAATTAAGTCTACTCTTCCGTTTCTTCACAGGTGTTTGTTATTGAACGAAAAGACTAGCTTACTACTTGTAACAAGCGCCAGAGGTAACAGATCGTTGAAAATGAACACTTTCAAACCAGAAATACTACGTAATCAGATTCGCTTCGACAGCTAAGAATCCACTGTGAAGTTATTAAAACGTTCACGGCAAAAATTAAGGATGTTTTCCATACAGGACAACAGTAAATTCTTATTACAAGGAAAAAATAAATAAAAGCAAATCCTCAGCCGATGAATGGGAACCTGGTATAACTAACTGGAGTCAGCAGGTAGTGTTTGAGTAAACAAAGCAGTGTTTATACAATCATATTTCTTAACAGAGCAAAATCACCAAAACTGGTCATATTGATTTGGCACGGCAGTGGCTAAGATAAAGAGTACTTCCAAACAGAATCTTGACATGTCGTGTTATTTAAAGGGATTTCCTGTTCAGAAGCTCCGAAAGAGTTAATTATTTAGACTCACCTGCGCCGAGGGCGTGCTCCGGAACACTCCTTGCTCTCTTGACTTCTGTTAACGGAAAATATTTATATAAGTAAAAAACCCAAACCTTTAATTCCCCACTGAGAAGAACCACTTTGTTTTAAGAAGGCGCCCTTCTAACTTTGTCTTGCCAAAAAAAAAAAAGAAACTCATAACGAATTGATGATCTTCAATATTTGAAAACAACTAATATACTACCAATAACTCAAACACTACAAAAAAAACCTCTCTCCCAATGAACAGTAATGAAACGGTGTTAACGACAAAGAGTTAACATTAGCTTATAATAATTAGAGAAGAGTCATCAATGATAAAGACGTGAAAAGTTGAAACGCTAATTAACAAGCTCAAGTTTGAAGTGGCCGGATCACAGTCTACTTTCTCGCAATCAAACAAACGGGTAATTAGATTAACAGATAGTATTTGGTAAACATAAACTAGCTAGAACTCTTACAAAATTTTATCCCGAAACAACGTTTGCGGTTCCAACCGAAGTCATGGCCTCGGATTCAGATTAAATTTACCATAAAAAGCCTTTGGTTCTACCAGAAAATTATAATTGAAACACAAGCAAAATCGATTAAGCCCGAGTACCTTGTAACAGGAGAATCGTCAGCACAAATAATCCAAAACGTTTAAAACCAGAGACGGGGTCATGACGAGATTTTTCTAATCTATTGGACATTGAAACACAACCCTTCGCCAACTTGAAAACTCCCAAAAGAACATGGATGCGCGCTATCCTCGTTTCGCAAGAAACTCCTTCAGCAAAACCACGTGGAGATTAGAGAGAAAATTACTCCGCCAAAGTACCGAGAAGTGGAACCATTCCAAATCAGTGTAAAGACAGCCGCATATAAACTTGATTTAAAAAGCGCTGCAAAATTCCAAATTTGATTATTTCAAAAAAGTAACATTTGTGTTGTGCTCTGGCGACAATGCAAGTAGAAACCATCTAGGGGTTAATTTCCTATATTTTCATGACATCACAAGGAGAGAATTCCGGCAGCTTAAAACAATTACGTCATGAGGGCGAAATCCACGGGCTTGTCGCCGCTAAAGCAAAAAGAAAAAACACATCAAAGCCACTTCAAAGCTACATTCAAAGTCTACTTTTTTCCGGCAAAATAAAAAGGGGGTTTTAGATTTGTTCCGTTTCGCTGCAAAAACAGCGTGAATCAAAGCGCGGGTCTTGAACACCTTTGACGTTTTTTTATTCGGGGCGGGAAAAACGGATTCTGGTGAATATCGAAGGGGACCTCTCAGCGCATTGAACCGTTTAAGGTGTTGATTTTTCAACAAAATAGCAGGTAGAATACTCTTAGAAGTTGCCAGTCGGTTGCACTGAGGAAAATACACCGACTTAGTATAATCTCTGGAGGAAATGCCTAATCACATTTATTTGATCACTCTTGACCACTGAGAACGCAACGCCACTAAGTGGCACGCACTTTTACTGTAATCTGTCCTAGTTAGTCCAATATTCAAGGCCTGGAACTTATAGGAAGGTCTAGTGGGTTAATTGTGAGACTAAAACAGTTGGTTCATTCGCACTGTTAAACAGAATCAGTCAAGTACTGATCAGGGTTTTCAGAGCAGTGCTATAGGTGATTAAGTTTCACAGAGGGCGTGTGGAGGGGCAATTGACGAAGTAAGAGACGGGTTGACTTCGGTGGCATGGAGAGCAAGCGCCTTGCCGGCTGGTCACGGATTTGTTTGTATTTTCTAAGTAATCTCATTGACATCATACCTCAACGGGACGCAAATAAAACAAGGATCGAATCTTGAATGAAGCTGCTTAAGTGATCGCTTAAAACAAAAAAATACGATTTTCCGGTAATATTAATTATAAAACCTTACTCTTTCTCTAGACTTCATGAAATTCAATCTGTAGATCAGGAGGAAAACGAACGGTTTCTGGTCCACTTTCGTCGCTCGAAAAAGGTCGTCTAGAGAGCAAGTGTACGTCCGTTCCTCGAAAAGAGAAGCTTTGTTTCAGACGAGGTGCATGTGTCTAGTACAAGAAAATTTTCCGGTTTCTCCTTTATCAAATCGCTACACGACAATTCCCTCAAGGACTGAAAAGTTTGGCTTCATTATATGTCAGTCCTGTTCAATCCGTTAACATTAGTTTATCCAATTTTCAGAGCCGGGGAATTACGTAAAGTTTTGTTGGTCAATTTTGAAACTAAAATAATTGGTGTATTCGCACTGTTAAACAGAATAGGTCAGGTTCTATAATCAAGTTTTACGGAGCAGTGTTATAGGTGACTATAAGCGCCAATCAAGTTTCACAAAAAGGCGTGTGGACGGGCAATTGATGAAGTCAGTGAAGACCTGATTTCGGTGGCGTGGTAATGAGCAAGCGCCTTGTTCGGTCACCGGTTTGTTTGTGTTTTGAAGTAATCTCATTAACATCATACCTCAATGGGGCGCAAATAAAACATGGATGGAGGCTTGAATGAAGCTGGTTCATTGAGCGCTAAAAACACACGCAGAAAAATACGATTCTGTGGAATTTTATATATACAGCACCTCCTCTAGACTTTCTGACAGTTCGTTTTGTTGTGCCATCGATCAGGAGGGAAACGGACGGCTTCTCCCAACTTTCGTCGCTAAAAATGACGACTAGTGGGCAAGTCTACTCCTCCTCCTCCTCCACCACCTCCCCCTCGTCCTCGAAAAGGAGAGCTTTGTTTCAGACAAGGTGTATTAACAAAACAAAAGAAAATTTTCTGGTTTCTCCTTAATCAAAACGTTACACGACCATTCTTCTGGACAGTTTAGTTGCATTCTTTGGCCGTCCTCTTTAATCGTTAACTCTGATTAGTTTATCCATTACTCTCAGAGCCGGGAAATTAGCAAAGGTCTAGCGGGTCAATAGTGAAACTAAAGATAGTTGGTGTATTCGCACTGCTAAACAGAATCAGTTTTAAGGGTGGCTAAGTGCCAATCAAGTTTCATAAAAGGGCGTGTGGAAGGGCAATTGATGAAGTAAGTGATGATTATTGACTTCGGTGGCATGGAGAGCAAGCGCCTTGCAGGTCGGTCACCGTTTTGTTTGTGTTTTGAAGTAATCTCATTGACATTATACCTCAACGGGCCGCAAAGACTATGGATCGAATCTTCGCGGAATCAATTTGCTGAAGTGATCGCTTAAAAATACGATTTTACGGAAATATTAATAAACCTTGAATAGCTCCTCCTCTAGACTTTCTGAAAATTTCTTTTTTGTTTGTGCTATGGATCACAAGGGAAACGGAGGGCTTCTCCGGACTTTCGTCGCTCAAAAGAGTCTACTATTCTAGGGGGCAAGTCTTCTCCTCCTCCTCCTGGAAAAGAGAGGATTTGTTTCCGGCAAGGTTAGACTTGCCCACAAGTCGAGCTCAAACCTCTTCACAAGCGCGAAGCGCGCGCGAGCGGGAGATTTCTTCTTGTTCGCGCTGGGGCCTACTACCGGAACCGGAAATGAG